TAGAATCGGTCGCAGGTATCGAATCAACAAAAATAAACCGTTTAACCAGAAATTAATCTTTAATTAATTAGCTAATAATCGACTAAACCACTAAGGGTACTTGTGGGTTGTCCCCAGGACTTTTTTGCGGACTTCTTTTTGCGGACACATTTGTACATAATGGTAAATCTTGTTTGATCGGTTGACAAGTGCATAGGAGAGAGGGAGGGAGAAACTCTTACCACTATGACAAATGTATCCGCAAAAAAGGTCCGAAAAAAATCCGGGGGATAACCCACAAGTACCCAAATAAGCAAACAAATAAATTAATTTCCAAACCTGATTTTCTGAATACCAACAAAAGATTGGAGTTCTTCAGTCATTTTTCTGCTGATTCTTGATCTTCTAAAACATCTCATCAAATAGACGGCCTTCCCGCGACAATTCACCAGCCTAAAAAATAAGAATAAATTTTTGAAAATATTAATAGAATCGGGCGCAAATATCGAATCAACATAAAATCTAGTTTTTTGACCAAGTTATGATCTACGGTCACTGGGTTCACGACTAGTATCATAAACCTATTTTAGCTGCGGTCGGCACGCAGCAGCAAAAACCTCCAAGCTGACCATAAGAAGCTTATACAAACGATCATAACTTGGTCAAAACTTGTTAGATCGCGATGATTTTTGTGTCATTGGATGAATGACGTAAATTTATAGAAATCAAGTGGGGCAACAAAACCCCTACAATTCACAATACCCAAGGTAAGCAAATGGACGGAGATTTGACAATCGATAACGTAGAAAGGGGCAAATTAAACCAATTAATTTTCAAACCTAATTTGCTGAATTTCAACAAAAGATTGGAGTTCTTCAGTCACTTTTTATGCTGATTTTTGGTCTTCTAAAGCATACTCATCAAATAGACGGCGTTACCGCAACAATTCTGTGCCCTAAAAAATAATCTTGAAACCATAGTAAAAAATAAAAATAACCTCTATAAACATTTTTACAGCTTCTGGATACTCTATCAAAGCTGAAAATGAAGTAATTAAAAAACCTTTAAACATAAAAACAACCTATCAAAAGATCAACAATTCAAAACAAGAAACCATTTCATTTAACCAATGGAACATCTGCTGTACGTCTTCTCATTCTGGCTTTAACATTGGGAAAGGATAAACTTATTTAAGGGGGAAACCTTGCGGACAAGACTTGCGGATATTTAATAAAGTAAAAAAAAAACAAACCATGTAGACGAGAGCATTGGAGGTTAATCGATGGAAGTGAAGATCGCCCAGCGATCTCCGAAGAGACCACTTGGGGGTCCCAGCGATCTCCGAAAAGACCACTTGGGGGTCCCAGCGATCTCCGAAGAGACCACTTGGGGGTCCCAGCGATCTCCGAAGAGACCACTTGGGGGTCCCAGCGATCTCCGAAGAGACCACTTGGGGGTCCCAGCGATCTCCGAAGAGACCACTTGGGGGTCCCAGCGATCTCCGAAGAGACCACTTGGGGGTCCCAGCGATCTCCGAAGAGACCACTTGGGGGTCCCAGCGATCTCCGAAGAGACCACTTGGGGGTCCCAGCGATCTCCGAAGAGACCACTTGGGGGTCCCAGCGATCTCCGAAGAGACCACTTGGGGGTCCCAGCGATCTCCGAAGAGACCACTTGGGGGTCCCAGCGATCTCCGAAGAGACCACTTGGGGGTCCCAGCGATCTCCGAAGAGACCACTTGGGGGTCCCAGCGATCTCCGAAGAGACCACTTGGGGGTCCCAGCGATCTCCGAAAAGACCACTTGGGGGTCCCAGCGATCTCCGAAAAGACCACTTGGGGGTCCCAGCGATCTCCGAAAAGACCACTTGGGGGTCCCAGCGATCTCCGAAAAGACCACTTGGGGGTCCCAGCGATCTCCGAAGAGACCACTTGGGGGTCCCAGCGATCTCCGAAAAGACCACTTGGGGGTCCCAGCGATCTCCGAAAAGACCACTTGGGGGTCCCAGCGATCTCCGAAAAGACCACTTGGGGGTCCCAGCGATCTCCGAAGAGACCACTTGGGGGTCCCAGCGATCTCCGAAGAGACCACTTGGGGGTCCCAGCGATCTCCGAAGAGACCACTTGGGGGTCCCAGCGATCTCCGAAGAGACCACTTGGGGGTCCCAGCGATCTCCGAAGAGACCACTTGGGGGTCCCAGCGATCTCCGAAGAGACCACTTGGGGGTCCCAGCGATCTCCGAAAAGACCACTTGGGGGTCCCAGCGATCTCCGAAAAGACCACTTGGGGGTCCCAGCGATCTCCGAAGAGACCACTTGGGGGTCCCAGCGATCTCCGAAGAGACCACTTGGGGGTCCCAGCGATCTCCGAAGAGACCACTTGGGGGTCCCAGCGATCTCCGAAGAGACCACTTGGGGGTCCCAGCGATCTCCGAAGAGACCACTTGGGGGTCCCAGCGATCTCCGAAGAGACCACTTGGGGGTCCCAGCGATCTCCGAAGAGACCACTTGGGGGTCCCAGCGATCTCCGAAGAGACCACTTGGGGGTCCCAGCGATCTCCGAAGAGACCACTTGGGGGTCCCAGCGATCTCCGAAGAGACCACTTGGGGGTCCCAGCGATCTCCGAAGAGACCACTTGGGGGTCCCAGCGATCTCCGAAAAGACCACTTGGGGGTCCCAGCGATCTCCGAAGAGACCACTTGGGGGTCCCAGCGATCTCCGAAGAGACCACTTGGGGGTCCCAGCGATCTCCGAAGAGACCACTTGGGGGTCCCAGCGATCTCCGAAGAGACCACTTGGGGGTCCCAGCGATCTCCGAAGAGACCACTGGGGTTGTTGCTGCTGCTGTTGAGGTTGTTGCTGCTGTTGTTGTTGCTGTTGTTGTTGCTGTTGTTGCTGCTGCTGTTGAAGGACTGAAAAAAAAGTGGTTACATTTTTCAAAAATTAAAAAAAGCAAGTCTTGTCCGCAAGTCAATACCACCCTCCCCCCTAAAAAGGTTAATCCGAAAAAGTAAAGCCATGCTCCAAGTTGTAGAACATCTTTGCTATGCACAGAAAACACTGGATGAGTCATCAAAAATCGATTATTGATTTTTGGGATGAAGTGTCATTTATTCTTAATATTTTGCAGTATGCCAAATTGCGCATATTTTTGAATTCTGAAATAAATATTTAAAAAATATAGCGGTTTTAAAACCGATTTATGGACTTATAGTCCATTGTTCTATTAAATTTAAAATAAAAAAAAATAAAAGATGGAAGCAAAAATGTCAAAAAATGGAGTCTCTATACACCGACATTGTTTTAGCCGTCTTACAAAGGAGAGTGCCGAATTTTTTTCTAAAAAAATTTAGAAAATTTTTTGAAAATTTTAAAACCAAAATTTTTAAAAAAAGAAGCGAAAATTATGTTTAAAAAAATAATTTCACCAATCAGGATTCGAACCTGGAGGAAAAAATTGAAATCAAGAACGCTACCCCTGCACCACCGACGAACACAACGGTAACTAAAAAGAAAATGTTTATATGTAGAAAAGAAACAGTGGGGGATCCTAAAATACTCTCCTTTGTTAGAGTCGAATAGACTTCGAGACAGAAATTCTGAGCTAATAAACGTCGTTATAGAGATTCCATTGTAAAAATAACAAAAAAATTTAATTTTTCTTTTTTTTATTCTTTTCTTCCTTCTTCGTCCTCTTCTTTTCTTCTTTCCTCTTCTCTAAGAAAAATTTTTTTGTTGAAAATTCCACGCAATCCAGAGCCACATATTTTTGCCTTCTTTTTGAATAAATATAAAAATAAATATCCATTAGAGAGAAGGAATTGTGTGCTTAAAAATAAAAAATAAATTTTTAAATAAAATATTAAAATAGAAAAACGAGAAAAAAGTGCTTAGAAAAAAAATTTCTGAATAGAAGTTTCTAAATTAAGGATTGGTGGGTCATTTTTCTCGGTCTGATCATGTATTTAATAAAGGGAACAACACTAAATAACTATGGTTGGGAGCCCATTCCGTAAGATCGAGTCGGGCATTGATTAAGGCCCAAAAAAAAGATTGGGTCAGGCCGGCCCGATAAAAATGACATGAAGGTCGGCTCGACTCGAAGACCGCCAGATACCTAGGGTTGGGAGTCTGCAAGTAACCCTCAACGAATAAATTCGGATGAAGCCACTAAATTAGAAAGTTTTCCTTTCCTTTCACAAACTAGCTAAAAACTCTCTTAAACACCTTAACTAAAACTATCAAAAAAAAAATAATTAAAAAATAAATTCATTTGAATATTTAAAAATATTCAGCTGCTAATCACACATTTTTTTTAATTTTTAAAAATACTATAAAGAAAAATATTTCCTTAAAAAACTATAATTCCTTTGTGCCCAAAAAAGCTTATCTAAATTAACTAATTATTGTAATTTTATCAATCAAGTAAAAGGAGAGAGACTATAAAAATTAAAAAATACTTAATCAGTTAGTAGCTAGTCCAATAAAAAAAATTAATTTTAAAATAGGAATGATAAACTACAAAATAATTATTATAGGAAGAGAACATAAACAAATAAATTTTTATATTTTTCTTATCTTTTTTTAGCCAATTAAAAATTTATATTTTATTTATTAATTGATCAATGACAAATTCTTTAAATTAATTTTTTTAATTAAAATTAGTTTTATAAATTAAAAATCAAAAAATAGACATGTCCTATTTTTAAGCGATTAGCAAGTCTTTCTTAATATCCCAGTTAGAGGGTGATCAACAAGAACAAGACGCTCTCATAAGTCTCTTCATCCCTTAGATTATCAACTAAAATATCTTCAAAATTAAATTTTTGTATCGTTCGTGGATATATGGGATATGCACACCAAAAAAATTTTTTTGAGAAAATTTCAAATATAGAAAAGATACAAAAAGCTAACCAAACAGACACTAAATAATTAGAAAAATTAACCAAAACCCCAGCTTATAATTTACATAAAAAGTTTTTTAAAAATTTTTTAATTCACAGATAAATTCTTAAGTAAAAAATGGGCCTATCAACCTTAACAACTCTAAATCGTTTTCATATTTTTGTCCTTATTGGATGGCAAACAACTATATTTTTTGCTTCACAAATGCTTTTTACAATTTTTGCAACATATACCCCTAGATGGAAATGTTTGTCTAATAATACAACAACAGAATTTAATAGAGATTGTAATTTATATTTAAAATGTCCTTCAGAAAACTTAGAATTTGAACAATCCCCTTTTTTCTCTGCAACAATAGAATTTGATTGGTTTTGTGGTTATGGGGCTTATTATAGAACTATTTTTGGTCAAGTAAGTTTCTCTTCTGAACAAAACATTTTCAAAAACATTTTTAAAAACATTTTACAAACTTAATGCTTTGTTAAGATTAAAAATAAACTTTGTTCAAAACCCCCAAAACTTTTCTTAAAAACATGTTTTAAAAATAAACATGTTTTACAAACATTAGACCTGTTCCTTTTCTGCTGATAAAACAAAACATTTTCGTGTTTTGTTCAGATTAAGCATAAACATTGTTTTAAACAAACTTAAACTTAGAAACATAAAAACTTTTTTTAAAAACATGTTTCTAAACAACTTTTACAAAATAAACATGTTTTACACACTTGAAACTTCTAATAAACACAAATACACCGAACATACGAAAAAAACATTTAACAACCATAAACTTTTGAATAAACTTGTTTTACAAACTTAAACATCCTAATAAACATAAAAACATTTTTCTCCCCAACAGATTCAATTTATTGGTGTACTCTTTGGAACTCTTTTAATGGCCCCCCTATCAGACAGATTTGGTCGAAAACCTGTAGGGCTTACATGCCTTACTTTTGGTCTTACATTACTTGCAATGACTTCTCTTTCACCTACTGGTTATACACTTCTGGCCATTCGTTTCATTGTGGCTATATTAATGGGTGGAAGTATGGTAGTGATTGCTACTTATACAATGGAAATTATTCCTCCAGAACATCGAATTACTCTAAGAACTTTTTGTAATTGGGTAAGAGATATGCCTAAATATTCCTCATCTTCTTTCTAGGGTATTTGTCGTCTTTTAATGACAACAATTTGTTTTTATTTCCCAAATTGGAGAACAGCAAGTATTGCCTCAGCCCTTGCTTCAGTTCCCGCCTTAATTATTTTTGCTTTTATAATTCCTGAAAGTCCAACATGGCTACACAGTCAAGGAAAAACTGAAAAAATGCGTAGAAGTGAAAGGTATATTGCTCGTGTTGCTGGTATTCCTTTTGAACCTGTTGAACATGTTGAGATTTGTAGAAAGGAAGTGAAGAAGAGACCGAACATTTTGTATGTTTAATTCCTTGTTTTACAAACTTAAACAAACTTAAACTTGAAAAAACATTTCTTAAAAACTTAAAACTTGAATCGCAAACTTAAAAATACTTTTAAGCACTTAAACAAACTTTTCTTAAAAACATGTTTTACAAAATCTACTGCAAACTTAAGTACTTCAAACTCTAAAAACTTGTTTTACAAACTCAAACTTTTACAAACTTATCCTTTACTCAAAACTTAAATCACAAACTTACAAACATTTTTAAGTGCAATCTTTCACGACAAAGTATTATTTGGCCGTCTATTAGTGCTTTGGATGATGTGGTTTTGTTCTTCACTTTCTTCTTATTCAATAGATTTAAACAGTGCCAATTTTTCTGGTGACTTTTTTGCAAACCAATGGATATTATCTTGCCCTATTATTATCTCAAAAATGGTATTTCCTTTTAATTTCTCCTTAAAAATCTCTCTCCCCTTTTCCTCCCCTCAAGTTTTTATTTGTTCTCGATTCGAATTGGCCTTCCTTCTCAAGACGTACACTTCACCATTTTGCTCAATCTGTTGTTTGTATTAGCTTTATTCTTTTAACAATTTTAGTTATTATTGGATATGATGTTTGTTTTTTTTATTATTTTTAAATTCAAAAATTCCTAATTTCAAGGGAATATGGATTTTATTAATAAATTTGTTTGGAACAATCTTTCTTGAATTTACATGGGATGCTAATGTTTTATGTGCTGTTGAATCAATGCCCACACAAATGAGAGCATCAGCTTTAGGTTCATGCTCAATGATTGCTAGAGTTGGTGGAATATTTGCACCCTTGGTAAACTTAAAACTTTAATCACAAACTTGAATTACACACTTAAAAAATAACCATAAATCATACACTTACAAAAGTAAACTTGCATACTTAAAAAATAAACCTGAATCACAAACTTAAGAAAATAAACTTAAAATACAAACTTAAAAGAATAAACTTTAAAGTCACCAACTTTAAAAATAAACTTGAATTACAAACTTAAAAAATAAGCACAAATTGCAAACTTATAACTGTAAGAATCTCAACCTCAACTAAAAACTTTTCCCACTTTAAAGCTCGTTTTCTTCAACGAAAAATGGCGTGCTTCTGCATACTTAACAGTAGCAACTATTGGAAGTTGTAACTTGCTAACCTCCTATATATGGTTAATTGATACAAAAGGAGTAGATTTGGATGCTGTTAATTTGGGAGTTGATATCTCAGAAAAAGAAAATGATGAAAATGAGAACGAGAAAGGAGAAAATATTAATGAAGATAATGTTAAATTTATACCTAATGAACATGGTTAATTGTAAAACTTAAAAAAACAAAAAATAAACTCTACCAGAATCGAGTCCCCATTTTTAAGTTTAACAATAAATTTGTTGTAGAATTGTAAAACACAAGGTTGCAAAATAAATTGTAAAAACATAAAACAATTGTAATAAAGTTGCAAACAAAGTTGTAAAAACATGAAAATTGTAAAACATGTTGATCAAACAAAGTTGTAAACAAACAATTAATTGTAATTCAAGTTGTAAAACAAGTTTGAAGACAAAATGGGATTGTAAAACATGTTGAGATTCCATTTAATTGTAATAAAAAGAATTCTAAACATTTTACAATTTAAATATTACAAATAAAAACTTAATATTTTTATTAAAAACATAAAAATTCATTTCATTTTATTTATTTTATTTACACGTAAAAATGAATATAAACCGGGAAATAAAATATTTTTCTAATGGGAAAAAATCAGACTATGAAATTTTATAAATGCAAAATATTTTAAAAAGATTTAAAAAAAGATCAGAAGCAAAGGCAAATAATTTTAAAAAAATCTTTGAAAATTTTGCCTTCTATTCTGATCTATTAAAAAAATATATAAAATTCTAAAAATAAGTTTGGATACAAAAAAAAATTTATTTTAAAGAATTGAGGAGATAACTAAAAAAAATTTTTTAAAGAGAAGGAAACGAGGAAAAGAATATTTAATTAAATTAATTTATTTTATAATTACAATTTCAAGTTCAAACTTAAACTTGAAAAATAATTTATAAGCTCTAAAAACTCAAATTGTAAAATAAACCTTTTCTTTACAATTGTAAAAAAATAAATATAGGTATATATAAAGCTTATTTTTGAACATACAGAAAATGTGTATATATTTAAATTTTATTGTCAGCAGAAATATTAAAAATATAATATACAATTGACTTTTGAAAAATCCAAAAATGGAAAAAAATTAATTGAAAAAAAAGAATTTTTGGTCAGAAAAAAATAAGAAATATTTTTTGTAAAAAACATATAAATATTTATTTAAGTGATTTAAGTAGAAAAAATTTTTTTTGGAAAAAAACCGTAGAGATGAGGAGATAGAGAGAGAAAAAATAAACTACATATTTTTCAGAAAATTTCGTAAATATCTAACATGCATAATTTTTATGAGGCTAAATTTATATTTATTTTTTAGATGAAAATATTTTCTTTAAAAATTCACTTAGGAATTCAAAAAATAAATTTTAATTCATTTAAAAAATTAAAGTAAGACATTTCGTCCCACCCCCTCCCATTTTTTCTCACAATCCTATTTTAAAATACACCAAAATTCAGAAAAATCAAAAAATTAAAGTGAGACATTTTGTCCCACTCTCCCAACGTTTTTCTCAAAAATCCCCTAATTTACTTAAATATTTTCATCTTTATATTATTTTTTTGGGCAGCCAAAAAAAGAGATTATTATTAAAAAATAACAACTAAAATTCTATTCACAAAAATTAAAAAAAAACTTGTTTATTTATTGTGCAGAATGTGCAGAACCAGGACGTATTTGTTGTTGAGGATGATGATGCGAATGAGGATGACCAGAACTATAACCATTTAAAAAACTTGATGTTGATGGACTCCGTTGTTGATGTAATTCATCTGGTTGTTGTTGTTGGAGTGATGGAGGTCCAATTATGCTTACACCAACTTGTAATTGATTTGCTTTACAAATACAACGACTTTCTCTTTCCTTTAAAAAAGAAGAAAAATAATTAAATTAAAAAAAAATAAAAAAGAAACCTGTAATAAAAATGTTAAACGTTCCAATTCTCTTCGAAGAACAGAATTTTGAGTCTAAAAAAGGAAAAAAATATTAAGTTTTGATTGAAAAAGTATATTAGTGGACTGCAAGGGAGTAGCAATGGGAGCTTCTAGGGCTAAAACACCCTCCCGAATGGGGAAAAGGGAAAAATTAAAACACCCTTTCTTTTTTGGACAGAAGGGATGGGCCGGGGTTGAATAAAAAGTCGGGTCGGGCTTTCGAAAATTTCTTAGATCAAAAAAAAATACGGGCTTCGGGTAACTTGGCCCATCCCTGATGCACAGGAAAGAATATAAGGCTATAATGGGAGAGGGGAAAAAATTTTCCCGATAGGGCCCAGGTTCGAAAAATGTTGATAAAGTAGAGACTCCTTCCCATGACTCCCCTTCCCCCTAAAAATTTTAAAATAAAAATCTTAAAAAATATACTTCTAGCGCATTCTTCTCTTGTTCAATTATATGCACTTTTTCAACAATCTCGTCATGTTCTTCCCTTTAAAAAATCTCCATAAATTTTTAACAATTAAACAAACAAACTTTTTTCTTTTTCTGTAACGTACAGCTGCCGCCTTGTTTCTTTCCAAAATGGTTACACGACGTTCATCTGGCGGCATATCACTAGAAAGAAAAAAATTTTTTTTCAAAACTAAAAAAATTTCCCTTACTTTATTGCAGACCGTCTTCCTCTTCCTCCTCTAGTTGAGCTAACTTGACTATCAGCACTTCAAAAAAAATTTTTTTTTAATTTTTCTAAAAATTTTTATCAAAAAAAAAACCTGCTTTCTCCACAACTAAATTTTTTATATTTTTTATGTTTTTCTCTTCCATGATAATTATTTTGCATTTGTTGCTGCTGATGTTGTTGTTGACGTCCAATTTCTTTAATATTACTCTCATTTTCATTAATATTACAATTATATTCGGAAGGTGATGATTTTGCTGAATAAGGGCTTTGTTGGGCCTTCAAAAAAAAATTTTTTTTTATTTCAAAAAAAAACTTTCCCCTTACAATAGTAATTTGTGGTGGACAAACAACAAGTGGTTGATGTTGTTGTAGATGATCAGGTGTTGTTATTTTCCATCTTTCATCATCAGATTTTAATGTGGTTGTTGAAGAGTGGCCAGTTGAAGGTGTTAGCCTTTAAATTTTTAAAAATTCGAAAAAATTTCTACCAAGGGTTTGGGCTTGATTTTTGGCACCATTCGATAAAGGACCCCCGACTTTTCATTACAAAACAACTTCATTTTTCTTGAAGAATGTCTTTGGACCGAGTTATGGCTAATCAACTTTTCGGTTTTTGGGAACCTTTGGGAGCCCATTTTCACAAAAAAATTTTCAAAAAAATTTCCAGGAGGAAATTTGGCATGGTTCTTGAGAACATGACCCACGACCTTCTAACAATTTTATTCATCTTAAAAAATGACTTGGGTCGAATTAAGGCTAGTTAAATTTTTCGGTTTTTGGGTACCTTTGGGAACCCATTTCTCAAAAAACAATTTTTAAAATTTTCAAAAAAATTTTCAAAAAAATTCATTTCACTTACTCAGCCAAATTGCAACTATTAACCAAACGTGTTGTTGATGTCCTCAAATTTATTTCATTTTGTATTGAATTATTTGGGCTATTTTGACGACTAATTCTTTGCTGATGTAGTTGTCCATAAGAGGAGGTTGTAGAAGATTGAAAAACGGCAGCAAAAGCTTCCCTTGACAAAATTGGTGAATGTTGTTGTTGTTTAAATACGGGGATAGTAGCCAATGAAGTTGATGTTAAATGTAAATCTGGTGTTGACATTGTTTTCCCTCCAAGTCCTAAAGGCGGGTATAGGTATTTAGAAAAATATCCCAACAACCCCCTATTGGTCTCAGAATAATTTCAAAGTTAAGTGAACAGAAATTAGAAAGGAAATAGACAGCAACGGCAAAAATGACGCAAACGACAGAAATCAAAATTTATATATTAAAAAGGTAAAATTGACCATTCCCAGGCAGAAATACTCCAAAAAATCAGTCTGAGACTCAAAAAGGGAGGGGGCTATTAATTAATTACCTATAGGTGTAAAACTCCCATCCAATCCACCTCCAATATTTAATGATATATTATTTGCTTCAATTTTTAAATTTGGAATTGAACTTGTTGGAATTAAATTATTTTGTTGTTGTTGAGGGAGGGGATTATTGTTGGTGGGAATTCCTTAAAAATTCTTTGATTCAAAATTTTCTAAGAAAACCTGAATTAGCTATTGTAGAATTAAGAGCAGCTTTAAGACCAGAAAGGCTTGCAGCGATTAAAGATGTTGACGGGATAAACGGGGAAGATTGACCACTTCCAATTTGGTGGGTAGAGCTCATATCTAGGACCTAAAAATAAATTTTTATTTAAATTTTAAGTCATGATTAGCAATAAGGATCCAAAATGTTTATATCTACAAAAAACCTAGTCATGGCTCCCAGACCTGGTAACGCTGAAAGTCACATGTTAAACTGACAGGCATGAGCCTGGGAACTCAAATTGAATTTTGCGAGCTATTTACCTACTATAACCGCAAGGAGGTCGAAGGTTCTCGATGTTTGTCCGATCATTTTAATAAAGGGAAGGAGAAAGTTTGACCAAGTAACTTTGAATATCGAGCAAGTACCATTCAAAAATTTCAAAAAAAGGTAGAAGGTCCGGCCCTTGCCCAATGACTTAATAAGGGAAAATGAAAAGGATGTGGAGTGATTTCAAATCTCCCTCCATTTCCTCTTCTTAAAATAATCCCTAAAAATTAAAAAAAGTCATTTACAGCATTTAAAACATCAGAAGTACACGGCGTCTTTAGTTGTTGATTATCATCTTGTTTGCTTAACAATCCATTTTCTCGAAGCTAAAAAGAAGTAAAAACATCTAAAAAACTCACAAAAATTTCAAAAAACCTGTTGAACTTTTCTAGATAGATCAATAGTTTTACGAATTTCTCCTTCAATATCAGCCGTGAGAACATTAATATTTGAAAAAATTCCAGGAGAATGAGTTGACGAAATGGATGGGGGCAAGTTGAGAACTGAAGACAAAACTGTTTTTAAATAAAGAAAAGTTGAGAAATTTTGTGTTTTTGGGTACTTTATGGATAGATTGACAAGAAAAATAGGGCATTCTTAAAAGTCCGAGATACAAGTTAACGGAATTTGAAAGACTTGGATTAACGGTCAGTTAACCGAACCGAAAAACGGTGTGTTTCGTTCTTAATCCAAACAAGGAGTCGAAAAACGGCCGTAAACGAAAACTGTGGGGTTCCAGTTAAAATAAAGTCACCGACAAAACTAAAATTTGGGTGCAATTCCTATAAACTCTTTTACAAGAAAAACGAGGAAACCTTGAAAAATAAGTCGAAAGGTCCGTAGAAACAACCAGAGGTAAATCGGAAATGACAAATATGCAGGAAATGGAACTGTCGGAAATCGGAATTCCGTTTCACCTCCGGAAACAACCCCGCTACCAATTAAAACCAAGTGAACTCCCAAGATCTTAAGGAGCCCCAAAATTTTTATTCAAAAAAACCTGAAGTCGCCGGTAAATTTCCCGATGTCCCAACTAGTTGTGAATCTCCAATACTGCCTGGCTGTCCACTACTACTAATTTGTTGGTTTGCTTCTCGAAATTTCAAATCAAAAGGATTCACAGACAGACACTTTTGAATTATTTCGGCCGTTGAGGGGACTTCTTCAAAGAAAATTTATAAAAAAATTCAAAAAAATTAAACACTAACGAGATTCATTAGGCGTTAACGATGATAAAAGCCAATCAAATTTACTGCTTCCACTCATATTCATCTTGTGCCAGGATTAATAGGTCAACAATAAGCCAGGATTAATCAAAAGAAGGTTAATATTAAATTTTATTTATTAAAATCTAAAAAGGAGAATTTAATTATAAAAATTTTCAACCAAAAAATTTAACAAAATATAAATGAGGTGACATTTCGTCCCATCTAACAACATTTTTCATTTTCTTACAAACAAACACAAATTTTTTTTCAATGTTTATTAAATGCATTGACATAAAAATTAAAATTTTGGTGCAAAAAAATTCATTTTCCAACTCCATCCCTCCTCCTTCCCTTCCCACCTTCTTCTCCCCTTTCCTCGATTTTTGGAACAAACAACATTTTTATTGCTTTTCCTTCAATTTTTAAACATTTTTTAAAAAATAAAATTATCAAAGCATTTTTCGCTGATAAAACAAAAATTCGTCATTTGACACATTTAAATTTTTTAATAAAGAAAAAAACGAATCCGGAAACTAAGAAATTTAAAGCAAAAAAATAATAATAAAATCGACCCACAAAAATTTCCTAAAAAAAGTCCCTTTTCCCCTACATTCTCTAACTTTTTCTTCTCTCTAATTTAACAATCCTCAAAAAGGTTTATTAAAGTCACAAGCTAATCAAACAAAGTTAAACTAGACTCTAACTTGAGTATATTTGACCTTTCTTTTTTTCTCCTTCTCTACTCTTGCAAGAGTTCAAGTTAAGGTTAGACACAAGTTAAGTTAGACATTTAACACATTTTGCCAAACCCACATTTTGCCAATTAGGCTAAAAACCTGCATTTTGTCAACAAACTTAGTGACAAAACACAAGGTTTTAGCCGTATTGGCGAAATGTCCACATTTCAAAATTGAAAAGAATTTACATACCTCACCACCACAAAAAAAAATAAAAAGAAAAATACACGAATTCTTGACGACATGCTGTTATTAATCTCGTAATATCGATCAATTAAAGTTGCCAAATAAGGACACTTTTAGTAAAATTAGTCTGCCTAGTATTGATAGGAAATAGACAAGAAATGATGTGATCAAAAACTATTTTTGACTGTACGTTAGAGTCTGAGAAACGGAAAAGGGCAAAAACAAGACTCAAAGGGGAGCAAATTTTTTGGAATAAATTTTTCCCCTTTTTTGTGGATTTAAAAAATTTTTTGAAATATTCGTAAAATGAATGAGAAGAGAAAATATGAAGCAACAAAATTTAATAAATTTAAAAAAATAAAGGAGAGATAAATTCCATGTAGCGCGAGAAATGTTAAGTAACCGTGTGCCTTTCAATAAAAGGGGCTTAAAATTTGAAGAAAGAAAAAAATATTTGTAAAAAGATGAGGATGATTATATAAAAAAATAATTTTAAAAGATTTAAGGATTAAAATACTTTAATAAATTAAAACAAAAAGAGAAAAAATTTTTTTGTTGAAAATTTTACGGAAAAATTTTCGGGTCATTAGAGTCTTGAACAAAAAATTTTCTAAAAACCTCCTATTTTCACCCCCAACACGCCTCATGATTATGCAACATAAAAAATATTTTTTTCTGCCTAGTTTAACAGCAAATGAAAAATTATCCCCCCCCCCCCTTTCCTCTCTTTTCATTCCGGAAGAAAAACGAGAGAATTACGTATATCTAGTCGTTGCCAGGAACAACAACAACCACACTAAACATATTTCAGCAATGACCAAGGGATGAATAATGGAATATGAGGAGGATTAATACACACTTTTAGGGCTTAAAAATTGAGTAAAGAACACGCAAAAATTAATTAAAAACAGAAAATTTTTTTAAATAATGCGCAAATATGCTTTAGGCCTTAAAGTGTGCGCCATAAAAATTTTTGAAAAAAAATTTAAGATTTAACATCCCTAAATTTTTTAAAGTTTAATACTAGCCGTCTAAACAAGGATATTTATTCAAATCCTAGACCCTTAAAAATAAAAATCTCCCAAATTAAAAAATTTTTAAAAATAACGCCAAAAACGCCATGCTTATGGCGCACTTTAAAAAATTTAAAATACTTGTTGAGTCACACTTTTGGAAGAAAAAAAAGTTTTTAAAGTGCGGATAAAAAGGGATAAGAGACAGAAAGAAGCCTTATAAAGATTAAAATATTTTTTTAAAAAAATATAAAAAAAATATTTCGACCAAAAAATGTGTTAAAAATTGTGTGAAGTGGTATGGAACGAACGGAAAAATGCTTGTTTGGTTAAACAAAATTAAAAAAAAACAGAAATTTTTTATATTAAAAAAATAAATAGAGAGAGGCATTAAGAATTGAAAAAAAGTGAAAGACTAATATAATCCTTAATGTCAAATAAATAATTAATTTTACGACGTATGACATTTAAGGGATAAAAATATAAAGGCTTCTCAAAAATAGAGAGGGAAAAAGTAGCGAAAAGTAGGCTTTTTTGAGTCTGATTTTTTTCTAAAAAATTGTAACTTAAAAAATAAATCGAAAAAATCGAAAAAATGAAAAATAACACCAATTCTTAATTTTCCCCATCGTTTACCAAATAAAGGATTCGAACCTTCGACCCCCTACAAGTCAAGACCAAGCATTTTCCAACTACACCAAAACACCACACCCAAAAAACTAAACAAATCATAGCTTAAAAATAAAAAAATAAATCGAAAAAATCAAAAATACAACCTATTTTAATTTCAACACATCGTTTACCAACAAAAGGATTCGAACCTTCGACCCCCAACAAGTTAAGCCCAAGCATTTTCCAACTACACCAAAACACCACACCCAAAAAACTAAACAAATCATAGCTTAAAAATAAAAAAATAAATCGAAAAAATCAAAAATACAACCTATTTTAATTTCAACACATCGTTTACCAACAAAAAGATTCGAACCTTTGACCCCCATATGCTCTAAACTAGAAACTTTCCAACTACACCAAAGCGCAAACCTAAGGGAATAAGGAATTATCAACCTTTAAATCACTAAAAATAATTTCAAAAATATTTTTTCTACCTACAAAAAAACCTTTTTTACACCCAAATGTACTTAAAAAAAAGAAAAAGCGGATGTGATGACCTCACAATTATATTTGCATGAATACCAAAATATTTTCCTTTCTCTCCCCTTTAATAGAAAGCACAAATAACGCCTTTTTAAACAATCTATTTTTTGTTAACGGATAATAAAAAAAAGAGAGAGAGTCTCTAATTTCACACCCCCTTATTTTTTTTGTAAAATTACTAGGCTAATTAGTTGGACTTTAAAAAAATTTTTTTTATAAATTATTTAATAGGGCAAAAATTGTATTTATTTTTAATAGCACCAAAACAGCAAAAAAATAAAAAAAATATTCAAGATAAATATAAGAAAAAATCAGTAAAATAAACAAAACTCACCCATGTTTATCAAAAAAAAAAATTAGAAAAAAGAATTAAAAACTCAGAAAAAATCCCTTTAAAATTCCCCTATTTACCCCCAAAAATTAAAAAAAATATTTTAACATAAATATAAAAAAAATTCGTTAAAATAAACAGAAGTTACCCAAATTTATTTTAAAAAAATACTTAAAAAATCACCCTTTAAAATTTAGAAAAAAATTCCGAAAAAATCCCTTCAAAATTTCCCCATCTTATTGATTCTGTGGTCTAGTGGATTACTGCCCTGTCTTTAACTAAAAATTAGATAAAATAGAGGGAAGGTTCGATTCCAACGTTAGCATTTTTAATAAAAACAGTTATAGAACAAAGATTAATGCATTTTTGAATAAATTAATTATTTTTTTGAAATAATTATTTTTTGGAATTAATCTCTAAAATTAATTTAAGAAAGCTTAAACATTTTTCTAATTAAAAAAAATGCGCGTGATGAAGAGGGGATTTGCTTGTTAATTATATTTTTATATTTTCTAAATAAATAAATGCCTCACCCAAAAAAATATATTTTCAAAGATTAAAGCTTTATTGGACCAGAAAAAAATAGAGAAGGAAAGAAAATGTTTTTTGGAGCAACACAAAATGCCAAAAAAAATTTTTTTCTAACGGTTTTTCCCCTGTTTTTTTGCTTCTTTCATTCTTTAAAAAACGGGAAAAAAATAAACGGGAGCGCACTAACAAGCATTTTTACACGATTACGCAATTGCCGAAGAAAACGAGAAGAAAGAAGAAGAAAGAAAAGATTAGCAACCAAAAACATAACAGAAAAATATGTAGAGAGAGATAAAATTTAAATTGACAAGAAGTTGAAAGAGAGGGAAAGCTTTATGGCCAATATATAAGTAATAGTTAGTTAGGTTACTCCAAAAATTTTTTTATTTTTTCTATTCTTTCTCCACTTCCCTTGGCATTTTCCCCCCAAAAAAAGCTTTATATCGACTTTTATTTTTTCTCCCTCTCTCTACTAAACAAGCATAGGACCCCCTATATTGCTTTATTTGGAGCGTGTGAATAGTATTAGTAGTTAAATAGAAAGATATTTATTTTTTTAAAGAAAGAAAGCTGTTGCGGAGTGTTTTTGTATTGTTTTTAAAAAAGAAGTTTAGTAAAAAGTGAGGGACTTTAAGGAAAAATAAAATAAACGGAAAGATTTCCTTAAAAATGAGCTTTATCTCTCCCACAAGAATCATAAAATATAATGAACACCCAGAAAACGTTACCAAAAAATTTTGTAAAAAAAAAGTTTTTTGTCTCATACGCGGAGTCGGAAAACTAGAAATCCTAAACCTATTGGCCTTCAATCACCCAAAAATTAAAAAAAATTTTAGAAATTAAGAAAGTTATCCAAAAAGTGAAGAGAAAAGTTTTAGTCTCTTTGGGGCCTACATAATAAGACAAAATATTTTTTACAAAAATTTTCTAGTCAGATGACTTCGTGTCTCTTATTAAGTCCCGGGAATCAAAAAATTTTATGAACTTAAAAAGGACAAAATATTAAACTTTAAAAAAACCTCAAAAATATTTCTCTATTTAATTTTAAACCTTCCAAGTCTTGTACTAAAAAGTATTGACTGAATCCAACCAGCATAATCACCAAATAATTCAATATAAAATTGACCTAAAAAAATTTTTTTGAAATTTCCCCCCAAAAATTTCAAAAAATACCAATTTGTTTTGATAAATTTTCTGTTAAATTTGTTGTCGTTTTTGTTTTATTTAAATTTAAAAATGTTGGTTTATATATTTCTATTGTTAATTTTAATATATGTCTATCAACAGGTACAACATTATGCATTCCTAATGCCATTAAACAAAAACAATCAGAAACCTATTTTAAAAATAAATAATTGAAAAAATTAAATTTTGTGAAATGTTGGTGACCTAATAAAAATTTAAAAAAAAATTTGGGAAATGAAAAAATAGGAGAAAAAACCCAGGCCCAGGAAAAACTCAGGAAGGTCAAAAATTGCCTGGACTCTGGGTACATGAAAAAACACAGGGGTTGGTCCAGATCCAGCTCGATCAATAATACACATAAGAAGTCAATTTTTAAGATATGGGACCAAATGTCTCGATTCAATGTCTCAATCCCCTAAGAATCTAAGAAAAACAAACTTTAGGTCCAACGCCAGGTAATTTTTGCAATTCTTTTGATGCCTCCACATATTTTAATTCCCCCAAAGATTTTAACCAACATTCAGCCCCTCCAGCATTTTTAATTGATTCTTCATTTAAAAGTTTTTCAACAGTTTTAGAAACATTTTTGGCTCTGTAACCAAATCCGCATTTTCTTAATGTTTCTTCCATTGAAGATAAATTGTTAGTTAATTGTAGAAATGTCGGAAAATTATAAAAAGTGCCATTATTTAAATCTATTTTAGTTCCATAAAGAACACAAAATTGTTCAACCATTTCTAAAAAATAGATTTTTATTAAAATTTTAACCTTAGGAATCAGAAAATTTTGTCTTGTTAATCATTTCTTCAAGTCTTCGGAATAGAACAGACGATGAGACGTTTATCTGACAATAATTGACCACTGGTCATTTTTGTTTTTTTTTTGTAAATAGTGCCAAAACTAGAGACAGGACTGAAAGGGCCGTAGACGAAAAAACTCGAAAAATATCCACCTCAGTAATCGAGCTTTTTGTTTGAGATCTTGTCTCAATTAAGTCTCTAACCAATCAGTCTTGGGCGCTCTAAATAGTCACAAAATCCCATTAGACAAAAATGCCAATCTCTTAAGGAAAAGCCTACACACTAGAAAAACTAAATTTTAAAAAATTAGTTCAAACTTGAAATTCTCGAAATATTGTTGTTAGCAGAGAATATGAATGCAAATAAAGCCTTAAAATTTTCAAATACGCTATCAATTAATTTTTAATTTAAAAAACCTCCAATGGTTCTTGTTTCAATATACGAATTCCTTTAAAAACCTCCCCCTTCTCCTCAATCAATTTTCGAAAATAACTACACTTTGAAGCCCACTCCTTGTAAAGTTGTTCCAAATCTATATCCAACTAATTGAATCATTTTCTGTTAAAATTCAAAAAAAAAATTTCCTCAAAAAACCTGAAAATATTCTTCAAGTAAATCTTTAGAATCCCTCATTTCTTCGTCAAAATTATGGCAAACTTCATATCCAATCCTTTCATTATCTATTCTCCATATCCTCCAAACACGATGATAAAATACACAAATCCAACAATTTTGATTTTGTTCCTTTTTGCACCTAAAAAATTTTTTATTTATTTTTAACTAAAAATAACTAAAATACCTAAAAGATTGCCCATTATCCAGAAGAACATCTAAATTTAATTGTGAAGTTGAAGCAAATATTTCTCCTTTCATTTTTAGGAATCAGAAAAAGAATAAAATTTGAAAAAATATTTTTGAAAATATGTAGATATTATGAAAATGGCGAAATGACTTTTCTTAAAATGACAATTTATCCGAAAACATATTATGCCAATTCGACATTTTGCCAATAAGGGCAAAAACTACCGTTTTGTCAACAAAGACTTAGGCAAAACGTCGTTTTTAGTCTTATTGGCAAAATGTGGGTTGGCAAAATATTGATGAAGTCTAATCTTATTAAATCATATTTTGCCAATTCCACATTTTGCCAATAAGGACAAAAACTACCGTTTTGCCTACTATTTTTAGCCGTATTGGCAAAATGTGTTTTGACAAAATATGATGAAGACCTTATTATCTTTTATTTTAATCCGCTCTATTTCTCTGCACACACTCTCTCACAAAATCCAGCTCCTCTCACAAATCCTTTTTGCACCTCCAAGAACCAAACATTTTCCTAATCCTACTATTAAATTTTTGTTTTTTTAGATTTCTAAAATGTCTGAAAAAGATCTTAAAATAAAAACTGGAGTTTTGAAGCGTTATGTACAAGAAGCAAATTCTTATAAGACTGAAGTACAAAAACAATCAAGCAAAATTAATTCATTAAAAGAATCTCAAGAGCCTGATGAATATATGATTAAAGTTTTTTTATTTTTTTTTCTTTTAATTTTTTAAAAATTCCTTTAAGAAGGCTGGTGAAGTTTTACAAGAAAGTAAACAAATGTTTAGTTTAGCTTCAAAAAATGTTCAAAAAGCACGTCTTGAACTTGAATCGTTGCTAACATCTTATGGGGAAGAGAAGAATGACGAATTGAAAACTAATGCTCAACAAATGATTCAAAAAGCTTTGGAATTTGAAAATAACAATGCTGCTTAACTTTTTTAAAAAGTATTTTTTTAATATTTATAAATAAACATTTTTCGTTTCTCACTGGGTGTAGAACTTGAAAATATTTTTTCACTTATATTAGGATCATTATGACCTCGGGTCGGTAGGGCCTCGTACATGGATTACTTGGAGATTTGTTAGCCTGTGTAGACCTTGTATCTTCTAGCTAATGGTAGGCCTACGCTCTATCTTCACGCCAACCCCTTAAAAGCTGTCGAAATGCCAAACAGGCAAAATTCGGGCTTTTCTAAAATTACTTCTAAATTACTTTTTCTAAAATTTCTTCCTAAAATCCTTAAACTTGTCAAAAAATCCCAACCATCTGAGCAATATATAAAATCTTTTAAAAAACGAGAACAATAAAAAATTATTAGGACCATTTTTGGCATTTTTTCGAATAAAAAATATAGCCAAAATGACCCTTTGCACATTTAAAAAAAGCTGAAGATCAGCAAGCGTATGTAGAAATTCAAAAAATTTTTCCACCGGGATTCCTCGGAGATTATTCTTTTCTTTACCAAAAAAAAATTTTTTTATTTTGATGATTCCATCAAAATAGAAGGACTACTATTCCTTTTAATTCCATAATTTTTCTTCGTCTTTGAAGAATCTAAAAATCCATTTTGTGGTGCTCTTCTTTCTGTATTGTTTCTTTTTCTTTTAGTATAATAGTTATTTCCAGATGACCGTTGTTGATTTCCCCCAATTTTTGTTTCAGAAATTCTTGGAGAACCAAATTTAGCATAATAACCTTTTTTAAAAAATTTTTTTAAATTTCCCCAACCCCTAAGTTTCTCAGAAAAATTTCAAAAACTTACTTTCATTTCTCATAACGTCCTGAATTGTTCTAAACCGACAACAAAGCATTTCTCCAAATGGAACACGAAATTCTCGATTATATTTGCAATAAATTATTGGGTTTAACATGCTGAAAAAATATGGGACTATGTCTAATTTCCCTTAATTTCCAAAAAACGTTGAGTGAAGGAATAAGGGAGATCCAGCTGGCTAGTATTTAAAACGTTTATACTAGGTGAGAGGTTAAAAATCTATTAAAAGAGCAATAACTGCCAGGAAATTTTTTACTTTACCTCTCGCTTACTTAAGAAATCTCTTGGGGAACTCCAAACCTAATAACTGCCAGAGGGCGCAGAATGCCTGCCCGGATCTAACAATAATCTTTTCTTCTTTATTATTAAGGGAATCTAAACCTGACTTCGGAACCAAAAAAGACCCCAAATAAAAATTTTTCAAAGAAACCTATTAGAATATCCAAGCCATAATGTAAGTGAATCAAGCCATCTAGGAACATAATTTACCCAATGCTGTGATTTTGCCAAAGCTAAAATAAAAAATGGCACCCAACAAATTATGAAGGCACTCATAATAATTAATACCTTAAAAATATTTAAAATTAAAAAAATTATTATTTCTAAAAAAATACTATTGGAACACGTAAAGTCCCCAAAGTAGAAGAAGATCCTCCACCACCACCACTACTACTAGCACTTGTTCTAACTTCAATTCTTAAATTTTCATCATCATTCACAACTTCTCCATTAGTTTTATTATTTTGATGATCATAATATCCAAATTTTTGTGCTGACATACGCAATGCAAAAAGAAATCGAGCATTTGCACGTGCTATTGAATCATTTCTAAATAAAGATTTAGCTGTTGTTGTTGTTGGAGGTGGAAGTCCGTCTTCTAAATCTCCATCAGAAGGTAAATGTACTCCTTGCCAACGTAAAACCTTTTATAAAAAATTTTGAAAATAATTTCTGTGTTTTATTTTAGTTTAAAATGGTTTAGTAGAGCATATAACAAAAAATTAAAAAGATTTGCCCGGAAGGAGTCGAACCCACGACCTCCAAACAAGGTAGACCTTACCAACTAAACCAAAAATCAATTTTTTATTAAAAAGTTTATGAGATGATTTCTGAAAATCTGTGAAGACTCATCTAACCTAAGTTTCCAAAAAACGTCCACTAAAGTGGTCGAACCCACGATCTCCACGAATAAGACAAAACCTAGACCTTACCAACTAAACCAAAAATTCATTTTTTCTCAAAAAGCTTTTCAATTGATTTTTTTGAAAATTTCTAAAAACTCCAAACCTCTTGTCGATTTCTCAAATTTAATTAAAATTAAAAAATACTAATTGATCTTGTCTATGCATTCTTTTCGCAGCACTCCATAATTTAACATAAACAATAACCATTATTAATGATGGACCCCAAAACGCAATAATTGTTGCATAGATTTGATAAACACGATTTTGTGAGACCTTAAAAAATATTTTTTATTTTTTAAATTTATTTTTTAAATTAATTGTTTCGGGGTTTGGTCAAAAAAAATTTTTTTCATTAAAAAATTTCAAAAAATTTTAAAAAATATTTTTTCTTCTTCCCCCCTTATATTTTAATTTATTCTTTCCCCTTTTAAAATTCCCAATTTTTGGCTTCCTTTTCCTTCCCTATTTTTTATTACTTTTTTTTAAATTTTTTTTCAATTACATGTTTATTTGCTCAATAAATTAGAAAAAATAAAATAAATTGTTAGGCAAATAATACAAATAAATCAAACTATTGGCAAAGCTGTTGACTCTCTCTGGAATATTGGAGAGTCAAAAAATGAGCCAGCATTTTTCTCATGGAATTTTTATTTTTTTGGAATATTCTGCCCATTTAAAAAACGTTAAAATGTGCGCTAAAGCAATTCTTCCATTTTAAAATTTTTTGGCGTTTAAAAAAATTTTTTTGTATGACGCACAGCTTTGCTTTAAAACAAATTGAAATAAAGGATTGAAAATTGGAAGAGAAACGGGTGTTTAAATAAATATATATGGGTGGTCCAAAAACAAGGAAGGAATAAATAAAAAAGAAAATAAAGTATTTTGATGGGGAATTTAAAAATGAGAAAAAAATTTTTTTTGACCAAACCCTCAATTTTAAATTAAAGAAAAATTTTTTCGACCAATCCTAAACTCAAAAAAATTTTGACAGGCCTTAAAATAAATTTACAAAAATTTTTTTGAGCAGACCCCAACTTTCAAAAATGGAAAAAATTTCTAACCTCCCAATTAAATTCCAAAAAATTCAAAAAATAAAACCTGACAATATTGCTCAATTTTTGGAAAAGGTAACAAAGCTAAAGGTGCAGCAGAAACTAATAAAGCGCCCAACCAAACAATACAAATATATAAACAAATACGTCTTCGAGTACGTAAAGCTGAATATCGAAGTGCTCTTTAATTAAAAAATTTTTTTAATTAAAAAAAATAAAAAAAACCTAGTCACAGCCAAATGTCGATCAACAGAAATTGCACACAAATTTAAAATTGAAGCAGTACACAAAGTTAAATCGGCAGTAACCCAAAAACGGCAGAGAATATCACCTGTTAAAATTTTCTATTTGAATTGAATATTTTAAAATAATTTTTACCAAATATCCAACGATCTTCCAAAACATAAACTGCAGCTAAAGGCATTACAAAAAGGCCAACACCTATAAAAATAAAGAAAATAAAATTTGTGGGAAAATTGTTTCCAGCATTTTACAATTTGTAAAAAATTAGGATTTCAGAAAAGTTTTTACAATTCTTAAAAAAAGTTTTACAATTTGCGAAAAGGCTTAGAATTTCAAAAGTTTTTTTACAATTCCGTGTTTTTTCGGAATTGTAAAAACTTTCTTTTACAAATTTTAAAGCTTTTTTCTGGAATTGTACTGAGCCTTTATCCAACATTTTACAATTTGTAAAAGTTTTAACATTAAAAAGTTTTCAATAATAACCAGAAAAGTTTAATTATTTAATTTTACAACTTTCCGTAAATTGTAAAACTTAACAAAAATTAATTTATTATTTTACAATTGTGAAAAAGTTAAAATTTCAGAAGTTTTACAATTTGTAAAAAAAGTTTATTTATTTTACAACCTTCCGGAAATTGTAAATTTAAAAATTAATTTACAATTTGTAAAAGAAAAATCAAAAACTTACAAAAATCAGCCAACGCGAGTGATATAAGCAACAAATTTGCAGGTTGCGCTTTTAATTTTCTAACTAACAAAATTGCAGCACAAACACCCAAATTTCCAATTATAGTAATTAAAATTAATAAAAATATTAAAATTGAGATTAAAATTGCAATTAATGGATGAGAATAAAATAAAGACGAATTTGTTGTTGGCCAAATTTCATTGGCAAAATTTGGTTCAAGAAGAGATCTTTGGGAAGACGAAGAAGAAAATAATGAAGAGGAAGACGTTGATGATGAAAATAAATTTAAATTTGTGCTGCTGCTTATATTATAATCTTCATTTTCGATTTCTACAATTTGTGCATGGACAAATGACCCTCCCAAATGATGTAAAATTAATGAGGAGTCGTCCAAATTTTCCAAATCATTTTCTAACATTTTTCTTAAAATTTGAAAAAAATTATTTTAAAATAAAATTAAGAAATATTTAAATTGCCAAAATATTTAAAAAAAAAGAGAGAGAAAATTAAAAGGAGAGGAAGAATAATTTAAAGGGGGAAAGCAGTCAAAACGAGCGCGACGAACGGACAAACATTTTTAGAAGGGAAGAATTTTTTCTTTAAATTTCTTCATTCCATTTATAGATGCTGATCACTGAATTGAATTTTGAAAGAAAGACAAAAAAATTAATGAGGTGAACATGTAAAAAATTGAGAGAGAGAGAAGAGGAAAAAGGCGGAGACTTTAGGTAAGGGGAGGAAGGAAATTAGACGTCGCGCCCTTCCAAATTTATTTATTTGATTTTTAGGTGCAGCAAAAAATTTTATTTTGGAAAAAATTTGGCTAACAAAATGGAAGCATGAAAAACAAGAAAAATATCACAAAACAATTCGATTGAGTATTAAAAGTGAAGAGAAAATTTTAAAAAATATAAGGCCCAACAAGAAGTGAATGATTCCCCAAATTTTCCCCCATAAATGATCCCCTGAAAAAATTTTTTTAGAATCCCCCTAAATTTCCTTAAAATGAATGCTTCTCCAAAAAAAGATGTAAGGGTGAAAAATGAAAAAAAATGAACGGCGATCAAAAAATGAAGAACTTAAAAATAAAGGTTTAGACAAAAAGTTTATGAAAAGTGTGCTTCTTTGGGGCCTTTTTTAATTGAATTTATTTTTAGAAGCTTTTAAAAAATAAAAAAAAAATTTTCAAAAAAATTGACTGGCTAACCCCAACATCTGTATATTTTTAATTTTTAAAGAGCCGAAAAAATTAATATTTAGATCCATATGTCGATTTTTTGTGAAAGAGGGGAAAGAGAGGGAAAGGGAAGAGGGAAAAACAGATTTTTATTATTTTAAAAATTAAAATCTAATAAAATCTATCAAAAAATTTTTAAATTTAGAATACTAAGAAGAATAAAACAAAACAGTTCCCCCAATTTTAACAAAAAAATTTAATGAAGAAATGAGAGAAGAGTGGGAAAAATACATTAGAAATTAAAGATAAAATCCCCAAATAAAATTTCTAAAAAAATTTTCTTTTGTTTATTTTTTAGGGAAAAGTCATAAAAATTTTTAAAAAGTTTAGACTAATTGTAAAAATATTTTTTCGGGGTAAAAAAAATTTTTTTTAATTTTTGTTTCCCCCAGTTGATCAAATAATGCATTTAAACTTGAACTGGAGAAAAAATTTAAGAAAAAATTTTTTTAATCCTCCAAACTTTATCCCCCCCTAAAAATACCAAAAATAGACAAAAAAAGGAATCCTAGAGCCGTGAGGTTATTCCTTTTTAATTTTTTTTAGAGAGAATTGTTTGAGAAGAAATTTACATTATTATTTGGCCCCGTCATTGCTTGTTATTATCCCTCCCAAAATAAGAAACAAAGTAGGGGAGATGAAATTTGAGCTTTACGGCACGGAAATCGGAAAAATGAGGAATTGAGGGGGAGAGAGAAGCTAATTTAAATGAAAGAAAAAAAATAATTTTTTGGGGGGAACCTTTCAAAAAATGCCTCCCCAAAATAATCATTCAAAAAATAGAAGGAATGAGACCGAAAGGAAAATAAAGGAAAAAAATTTTAAATTAAAAAAATAAAAACCTGTAAAACCTGCAAGTAGTAAAAGCTCAGCAAGTAAATAAAAGTCAACAAATCTCAAAAATAACATCACCACAAAAGGTTTGTTGGACAAAAAATAATTAATTAAAGTCAAAATTAATAAAAACATCAAGTTTAATTTGAGTTGGAATGATAACGTAATAAATTGATTAATAAACATTTAATTTGAGTTTAAAGTAAATAAAAGTGTATAGAACATTTAAAAAATCTGAAAAAAATCTGAAAATTAAAAAAGACCTGACATTTAAAAATAAAATTCTCAGCAAAACATAACGCCAACCATGATAAATGTAAACGAACCAAAATGTCCAATGTTTCAAAAATTCTCTGAAAATTGCTTAAAAAAATTATTTTAATATTTTCAATGTATTCTATATTTGTTACATCGTTTAAAGATAATTATTTGCGAAATAAAACGCAATGCTAGCTAAAATAAAAAAATTGTTTTTGACTTTTATTCCAAAAATTAATAAAAAATATTTATTTTTTAATCGATCAAATTTTTTTCAATATTCTTCTTCGTGTGTATCAAAAGCCACTTCTTCATAATCTTTTTCTAATGCAGCCATATCTTCGCGTGCTTCAGAAAATTCGCCTTCTTCCATTCCTTCACCAACATACCAATGAACAAATGCACGTTTTGAATACATCAAATCAAATTTGTGATCAAGGCGAGTCCAGGCCTCTAAGATTAAAGAAAAATTTTAATCCAGAAAAATTTTAAAGAAAACCTGCAATTGCTGTGGTATTCGAAAGCATACAAACAGCCCGTTGCATTTTTGCCAAATCACCACCCGGCACAACCGTTGGTGGTTGATAATTTATTCCAACTTTAAAACCTGTTGGACACCAATCTACAAATTGAATAGCTCGTTTCGTTTTGACTGTAGCGATTGCTGCATTTACATCCTAAAAAAATTTTCCAAAAGGTCGTAGAAAAATAAAAACCTTCGGTACAACATCTCCACGAAAAAGCAGACAACATGCCATATATTTTCCATTTCTAGGATCACATTTAACCATTTGATGTCCAGCTTCAAAACATTTGTTGGTTATTTCAGGTACATTCATATGTTCATGAAATGCTTTTTCAGCTAGAAAAGGGAAAAAAATTTTTTCTCAAGTCATTAAAAATACCAGAAATAATTGGAGAATAAGTAGCCAACGGGAAATGGATTCGAGGATATGGGACCAAATTGGTTTGAAATTCTGTTAAATCAACATTCAATGCTCCATCAAAACGTAGGGAGGCTAAAAATTAAAAGAAATTTTCCCAATTTATTTTTGATGATAAACCTGTAATAGACGAAACAACTTGTGCAATGAGACGATTCAAATTTGTGTAGGTTGGACTAAAAATTAAAAAAATAAAATATTCCAAACAAAAAATAAACCGATGAATATCCAAATTTTTTCGGCAAATTTCATAAATTGCCTCATTATCAACCAGGAAAGAACAATCAGAATGTTCCAATGTTGTATGTGTAGAGAGTACAGAATTGTATGGTTCGACCATTGCTTAAGTAAAATTTTGGAAAAAATTAAAAAATAAATACAAGTAGAAATTTGCGGCGCTGGATAGACGCTAAATTGAAGTTTACATTTTTTGCCAAAATCTGCTGATAATCGTTCCATCATCATTGAGGTAAAGCCGGAACTTGAAAAATAACAGAAAATCAGTTTTATTTTGCTTTAATCAAACCCTGTACCGCCTCCAAATGAATGGAATATAAGGAAGCCTTGCAATGAATTACAATGTTCAGCCGTTCCTTAAATTTCAGAATTTTTACAAAGATTTCTGGCAGAAAAACTTCGAATTCGATCCATAGTTGCCTAAAAATTTAGTGAATCTTTTTAAAAAAAATTTCAAAATTAAACAAACATCAATTAGCTCTTTTCCAATTGTATAATGGCCACGTGCATAATTGTTTGCAGCATCTTCTTTGCCAGTAATAACTGTCCAAAAGAAAACATTAGATATATTCTTTTAATAAATCGTTACGTTGTTCTGGATGAAACAACTGAAAAAAATTTTTTAAATAACTAAAAATTGAAAAATAACCTGTCGATAAGTTCCTGTTCTTATCTCATCTATTTTTTAATTAAAAAATTTTTCGACAAAAATTTTTCTAGAATTACCAATAACAGTTGGTTCCAAATCAATGAAAATTGCTCGAGGAACATGTTTTCCTTTAAAAATAAAAATTAAATTTTAAAAATAAATAGTAAATAAACCAGAAGGTGTTTCAGAGAAGAAAGTATTATATGAATGGTCTTCAATGCCAACACTTGAAAATAAAAAATATTTCAAAAATTAGTTCAAGTATTCAACGTGTCATCCGCAGGCATTCGTCCATCAGGCTTAAAAAATAATTTGAATTTTTAAAGTCAAAAAAAAAATTAAAATTTGCCTGTATTCCATGTTCTAGACAATAGAGTTCCCAACAAGCCTTAAAAATAAAGAATTAATATTTATAACAAAGAATTTCTTATACATTTCCAATTTGAACTCCAGCTTGTCCAACATGAAGGGAAACAACTTCCCGCATTTTACCTCCAGCCGGCATTTTTAAATTTTTTCTTACTTTTAAAAATTAATTCCTAAAAATTTTTCCACCTAAAAAAATTAATATTAAAAATAAATTAGAATAAAGCGCATTTCCCCTTTCTTTTCTAAAAAAGAGAATGATATTTAAAAACACAAAAGGTTGGCAGCGGCAAGCGCGCAAAACAAAAGAGGTTTTTGGTGTTGTTATTTTGTACCTAAAAATATTTTATGGCTTCTCCCCCCTTTTACACCCCCTAACAACAACAACAATTTTTTTCAATTGAAGGCTTTGTGCGCGTGTGATTATTTTGAGACAAGAAAAGGAAAAACAATAAAAAGACGTCGCCATGGAAATTTTTTTAACAAACAAAAGGAAAGATAAGTCAGTTTTTGGGGAAATTTTGATTGGAAATTGTTATAGGAGGAAGAAATGGGATTAAAAATTTTTTTTGAAATTTTTTTAAACGAAATAGCCAAGTTCCAAAGACAGTTTCGGCCGGGAAGGAGATCTCAAAGAATCTCGATTTTTTTATAATTTTCCTAGCTACCCCTCATTAACAAATGTGAAAACAATATGAAACTCAGGGATCACCTTCTACTCCTCTAATAATCTAAAAAACCTTAATCCTTATAAAAATCTAAAAAATCTTAACAAAAATATTTTTTACTGTCAACTAAAAAAATAAAATTAAAACAAAATTGGTTTGGAAAAATAAACTCAAAAAATAAATATTATTTTGCTTGTTTCAAAAAAACCTTTTTTTATTTATTTAGCATCCTTAACATCTTCGTGTTTTCGTTTGCGATCAGAAGATCTTCCTCCTCCTCCGCCATCCTTTTCAGTTGTTGCCGAGCTTGAAGACTCAGAAACACGCAAAGGAAGATCAAATTCTTGGTCAGCACCCAAATATGAATCACAAATAAAATATAATTTATAATTTGCTTTTTGTGAAGATATTGTTGGGACAAAATCAAGAACATGTTGTGCTTTTATATTTACTGTCAGTCTTCAATATTTAAAAAATAAATACAAAAAATTAAAAATCAAAAGAAAACCGTTTAATTGAAAGCAATTGATTATTCAAAGGATCACCAACAACTAAATACCATCCTTCTTCCAAATTTTCTGGAACATAATTACGTGAATAAAATGGGACACGACCAGCAGGATAAGGATAACGGGGAAAGAATGGAGCTACAACTGGTGGTGCAAAACCATTTTCATCGTTTTCACGTTCAAGTTCTATTCTTATTTCAACTGGTTGTCCTCTTAAAAAATTTTGGAATTTTTTAAATTTTCGAAAAAAAATAGTAAATAATACATATTTGCTTTTTGACTAACAAGTTCATGTTTAACTTCAATACTTGGATAATTATTACAAAATATAGCAACATCAGTTAATTGTGCCTGATTCATTTGTAAAATTTCATCACGATCTTCATCGTTTAATTCGAGTAATTCAAATATAGATTCAACTTTCTAAAAAGAAAAAAAATTTTTTTAACTTCCAAAAAATTTCATGTCTCTATCAGAGATGGGCCAGGTTACCCGAAGCCTGATAACAAGAAAATTTTGAAAACCAGCCCGTCCTATCCATCAACGAACCCGTCCTTTCCATCTCTCTATAAAACAATGGGTCGAGTATACTACGAAACCCAGACATTTTCAAACCCAAAACATGATCTGAAGACAATTTTAAAAAAAAATTTTTTTTTTTCCTTTTCTTTACACCGGCCCATCTCTTGTCCCTCCCTAAAATTTTTTTTCTTTTCTTTACACCGGCCCATCTCTTGTCCCTCCCTAAAATTTTTTTTCCTTTTCTTTACACCGGCCCATCTCTTGTCCCTCCCTAACAAATAATTTTCAAAAATAAACCTTTTCTTTACATCTTTCTAACAATTCAGGAGAACAATGAGGTAATTGTTTCATATAAGATTCATTTGAATACATTGCTTGTGATAACATTTGTGATAATTCCATTGCATGTATTGCTGGTGATAACCATCCATTACTTGACAAAACATCAACACATGCTTGTACTAATTTTACAGATTTCAATACAACCCAATCAGTATCTTTGCTTAATTCAGCAGTTAAATGAATTCGAGATAAATGGGCATGAAGTAAAAGATTGACCTTTAAAGGAAAATTTTTTTTAATTTAAAAAAAAATTTTAACAAAGAATTTCGAAAAAAAAATTTTCAAAGTTTCTCAAAAAAATTCAAAAAAAAATTTTAATAAAAAAAATTTCAAAAAATTTCTCAAAATTTCAAAAAAATTTCTCAAATTTTTCCTAATTAAACTATAAAAAATTAATACTTTAACATGTGGACTATTCCATTTTTGATTTTTAACTTGTCCTTGAAGTCGATCAGCCAATTTTTTAAGTGTTACTTCCTCTTTGTGACGAACTGGTAATGATGAAAATTCTGTTGCATTTGAAATAATTTCAATTATTGCACGCAATTTGGTCTTTGGTTTTAATGAAAGTGAGAGCAATTCTAGAAAAGGAAAATTTTTTAATTGAATGAGTCATCTTTTTGATCAAAAAACTGATTATTTCTGATCAAAAATTAAAAAACAAGTTTACTCAAGCTTACCAATAGTTGTGTAGCTAACATAATAATATGCAGCAATCATTCCCAAATTTAAAGGATTTGTATGCATTTCATCTTTAACAGTTATACAATTACTATTTTCCAAATCTTTTAATGTTGATTCAACCAAATCTGATAAACTATCTGATAAATGTCGATGACTTGTTCCCTTAAAAAATTAAAAAAAAATTATTTAATAAAAAAATTAGGGACTGGACACCGACCCTTCGGGATCAAAAAAGGTTTAGGGTCTGGAATTAGATTTGACTAGACCGAGATCGAAAAATTTCTCGGAATCGGATTTAAAAAACGTGCCAAGTTTCAAAATCAAGATTAGACAAAGTCAGAGTCCAGCCCTGAAGTTCAGGGCTTTCGATATCGGGGCCAGAATTTTTTTCGGAGAATGAAATTCGTGTCGGTGTTAGACATGGCCTGGGTCCACCCCTAAATATTAAATTAAAAAATTAATTTACATGTAAATTATAATAATTCGGATTTTGTGTCATTCGACGATATAACAAAGTCCAGGTTAAATAATCTATTGCATCCTGTTTATTTTCTATAGTTTTTGTAACAATTTCAGCATTAAAATGATCATGTAAGCAATGATCCAAATGAGATTCAACAGGTAAAGGTTCAAATAGAAATTTTTTATAAAAATCTTTTTTTGATGATTGACACATTAAAACACATTGACAAGCACCTTTAAATAATTTTAAAAAATAAAAAAATTTCAAAAAAAACCTTCATCATTTCTTCTCTGTAAATTAGCTAATCCAACCATATGTAAAACATCACCAATTGGATAATCTTCATAAGCATTATGTTTTCCATTATAAAATTGTGTATCCATTAGAATTACCAAGAATGCACGCATTTGGATTTGATAACACATTGTATATGGAACTATACAAATCTATAAAAAATAAGAAAAAATTTTATATTAAAAAAAGACACAGGCTTATAAAAATTCAAAAAGTTATAGAAAAAATCAGACAAAAATTGTGGAAAACCGGGAAAAATTAAAGGAAAAATTCAGAAAACAAGTTTATAGAAAAATCCAGAAATAAATTCCTAAAAAAATTCCAAAAAAATTTTTCAAAAAAAATTCTAAAAAAAATTTGGGAAAAAGATCCGAAACAAAATTCCAGAAAAAAATTCAAAAAAGCAAGAAAAAATCTTAAAAGAAAAAAATTCTTCTAACCTGTATTGCTCCACTATTAAACAAATTTTGTACACTTTCAGAATCAAAATTAGTTGTTCCTTCATGTAAAAATCCAACACCTCTTTTTATTGTTTCTTTTAAAGATTCATCATTTAAACGATCAACCAAATTTGCAAAAACATCTTCTTCTGGATTCATATGTAAAAAACGATTTTCTTGTCTATCAGCCAAAGCATATGTTAATAAATCTACTGCCAATGAACGTGTTAAACGACGATTTGGAACAAAGATTAAAACTGGTTTAGGTTCTAATTTTCCACCATGACGTAAAATTGCTGAATATACAGGACGTACCATTGCAGACAAACGTGTTGGGGTGTGCGAAAGATTAAAACCCTTTAAAGAAAAAATATTTTTTTCTGCAAAAATATTAAAAATAATAGAGATCGGAAATTTTAAAAAATATCGACTTTGATTCCTATTTTGGTTGAGAAACTTGAGTCTAGAACTTGACTCTTGACTTGGAGTTAAGGAAAAACCAAGGTCAAGGAAATATGAAGGAACACTGAAAAATGCTCTAATCTTGACTCTGAATTCAGGAAAAATCAAGGTCTGAAACCATAACCAGGCTTATCTTAAAAAATTTCTCAAAAAAACTCACATCAATACGTAAATCCAAAGCAACGGGTCTCGCGTTTGGAGGGAAATTATAATTCTGTTCACAACCTAACCAATGTGTAATATCACGAGCATTCATTAAAGAAGTGGCCATAGCAACTATACGAAGTTTAGAATCTAATTGATTTCCCATATATCTCATTCTTGAACATACAACTTCAAGTACCGGCTTGAAAAATAAAATTTTCTTTTAAAAAAATTTAAAGAAAAAGCAAACCCCATTAGATCCTCCAATCATATGTAAATTATCAACAATAAATAATTTAACTTTTTGTACATCAGAACGATTTTTCCAGCGACGAGAAATATTATCCCAACGTTCAGCAGTTGAAATAACAACATCAGCTCTTTTGAGTAGTTTGATATCAATAGAATTTTCGCCAGTAAGTAAAACAACAGTCTTCTTTAATGGAATAGCAATACGTTCAAGCCAATCAAAATAAATCTTTTTAAATAAAGAAAAAATTTTTTTAATAAATTTAAAAAATGTATTCGGCTCTGGTCTAGTTTATAAGTCCGCTAAAATTATATCGTAAGCTTCCGTCGAATTCCTAAGGCTATATATTGGACTCATAAAATGTCATTGGGCTCATAAAAGGTTTATTTAGACTCCTAAAAGGTTCATTGAAGCTATAAAGGTTAATTGAACCCTTAAAGACATGTTGGAATCACAAAGATTTATTGGCTCATAAACTAGACTAGTTTCATTTCTCTCTTACATTTTTAGCCAAATCATCTAAACTCGTACAATAAACAGCTTTACCATTTGGATTATTTTCAAAATGTCGAAGTAATGCAAATTCAGCACAAACACTTTTTCCACTACCATTTGGTGCTCCAATAAAAACATTTTCGTTTGTTTCATAACAGGTACGAAAAACTAAAAATCACGTAAAAAATTAAAAAAAAACTAAAAAAATAAACCTTGTGTTTGAATTGGATTAAAATAATGAATTCCACGTTTTTCAAATATTTGTTCAAATTGTGGATTATTTAAAGCAGAAATTGGTAAAGGTTGCAAATCTAACAATTCTGTTGGTGGTGGATACTTTTCTGGCAAAATTAAATGGCGGAAAGAGACTGGTAAAACAGTTTCACTTCCTAACCAACGATCAGAAACAATTCGAATAAAATAGAGGGGAGGGAGAGGATCAAAAACTGGAACAAACATTTTGACAATATGCTCTTCTGTGCAATATTTTCTAAAAAGAAGATTAATTTAGTTCAATGAAACACCGATTTTTTGTCAAAAACACCTAAACGACCCAGAAGAATTTAGCCAGATAAACCCCGCCCAAATATCAACCCTGATCCCAAACACTGACTTGTAGTACGCGGAAAACCACGATCCCCTACACAAACAATCAAGAGAATCGGGTGTTACACTAGTTTAATCTTTAAAAAAATTAAAGTTTCCAAACTGTTTAAGAAGAAAATATTCATGATGCAATATAATTTCTCCATTAACATCTTCAACAAATATCCAAAAACCTTCAGAACTTCCATGAATTTTTTCATCCCATTGAAAATCTGGTGTTATTGTTAATTCAACACGAAGTGTAGAACGCGTTATTGGCAATATTAATGTTGTCATATCCAATTTGGGAATCTTTAATAAGAAAAAAAATAAAATAAATCAAGGAAGCGCGGCGTAATACCAATGCTAAAATACCGAACCCCTGAAAAGATGCCAAAATACAAAATGTGTAAGGTTTCTTCAACAAAGGCAAAAATTTTGGCTATTCCGGCATGTCTTTTTGAGGGTTGGTATTTCGACGAATAGTATTATGACACCACGTTCTTCATTTGAAAACAATTAAAAAAAGAAACCTGTCTAATAAATTTATATAAAGGTTTTCCCATTTTTGGTACACGAAGTAATTCTCCCAATTGATGAACATCCAAATCATAAAGGCGATCAAATGGCAAATTCTTTTTATCTAAAGTTCGAACAACTTCTGTTGGTAATTTTTTGAATTGATGTAAAGGATTAAGTGATTGCCATTGTCTTGCATTAACCATTTTACATAATCCCAAAATTTTCTTTAAACAAAAAATTTCATAAAATAATCAAAAAATATTTTTTACCAAAGCAAGTTGTGCCCATCCTCTCCATAAAACAATTTCGAAAAGTGCTCTAAACAAACGACCAGCAGATTGCGAGATAAATACCATATCGCTTTGAAGAGCAAATCCTTCCAATTTAAGTTGAGAAATGTAAGCCTAAGAAAAAATATCAGCAAAATTAGTTTTATTATTATAAAAAAAACCTGTAAAAGCACATTAACTTTAGCACTAGGCTCATCAAGCGATTCTTTTATTGGAATTGGGACTGTTTCAGCCAATTTTTGTAATTCCAATTTTTCTTCTTCACGTACATGAATTTGTTTAAATTCAGAAGAAAGTGAAAATATTCGGAATAAATCAATTTCAGTACATGTATCTTTCAACAATTTATTGTAAGTATCCATACTTTCATATGTGCAATAATAATGTGAAGCTATACGCCCCAATTCTTGCGCCTATTATTTTAAAAAATTTATTTGCAAAAAATTTCTGGTAAAATCAAAACCTGTATTAAACCAGTTTTTCTATCATAACGAATCAAATTTCCTTTATCAAGTAATAAACAAGCAGTGTGGACCAAATCAGCACGAGGTTTTTCCAAAAGTTTATCATTTTCCTGAAAATTCAGAAAAAATTCTTCTATAAAATTCAAAATTCTTACATCAACTTGAATCCCATAAAGTGCTGGTGCTTTACACAATCTAACATATAAATATGTATAAGTTAACCATTCCATTGCCTCCGTAACATTTGTAACTGTTCCAAGAACAACTTCAGCATTTAATGTATCTGGCAATTTTGCAATCATTTGACTTTCAATTGGAAGCTATAAAATAAAAAATTTTCTAAGGAAGAAGAGAAATCCAGTTAGCTAGAACCATTAAAACATTTACCAGGTAAGAGTTTAATATAAGTCAACCGGTAAAGGACCGTTGGTCTTCTAGGTTGGTCTTCCGTTGGTCTTCTAGGTTGTTACTAGAAGACGTTGGTCTTCTAGTAAAAACCCCCATAGTTTAACTTATCTACATTCGTCTTACTAAATTATAAGGTTGAAAAAACAAACCTGCTGATTCATAAGTGACAAATAATATTGAAGTTCAGTATTATGTGTTATCAAAATTCCTTTTCCCAAAGCATTGTGTTGAGGACGACCAGCTCTTCCCATCATTTGCATTATATCTAATGGACCAATTTCTGTCCAACAACCTTTTTGTGGGTTATAAACTTGTGTTCCTTTTATGATGACTGTTTGTGCTGGTAAATTTACACCCCAGGCTAAAGTTGCTGTTGAAACAAGAACCTTTACAAAGAAAAATTTTTTTCGAAAATGCCAAAAATTAAAAACCTGAATATGTTTATCAGCAAAAAGGTCTTCTACCAAAGATCTATCCAATCTATTCATTCCAGCATGGTGAATAGCAAAACCATAAGGGAGTAAATCTTTCAAATCCATATTTTTAGCCTGTTCAGCTTCAGTGCGCAAAACTTCTGTAGAAGCACTTCCTTCACGAAGAAATTTACTTATTGAATCTCTTTCTATGCAAGCATCACGGATAGCTTTTGCTGTTTTTGCCGTTTCTTTACGTGAATGAACAAAAACGAGAATCTTAAAAATTTTTTTAATTTTTAGAGGCTTAAAAACTCAAAAAAAACCTGACTACGTCCAGCACTTTCTAGTACTTTATCATAAATAATTTCATTCATTGCTTGATAACGTTTTAATGCCTTCTTTTCTGTTGCTCCAATATATTCTTGTTCAAGCGGTACAGGTCTATATGAATTGTCGAAAAAGAAAAGATCATCTGGTTCAACACGTATAAAACGGGCAACATCTTTATAGTTTGGTAATGTAGCTGATAATCCAACTAAACGACAAGCATCACGTGTTTGTTCAATTTGTCTTATTGTTCTTGCTACTAAAGCTTCCAAAACTGGACCTCTTTCATCATGAAGTAAATGAATTTCATCAAAAATTATTAAAGTAACCAATTGTGTATATGAACGCTCTCCACCTTAAAAGAAAACTTTAAGATTGATGATGAAAAATCGCAGTCTATGAGGAATAGGAGACTTCACTCCCTATGTAATCAACATGGATGGACCTCGTTATCTGAAACACCGACTTTTCGCGTTTGAAATCCGATCCTAATTGTAAAAGAATTTTGAAAACATGACCCAAAAGATGATCCTAATTTTCCAAGCATGCCCTGTGATCAACAAAAAAAGGGCCTACAATTAGGGGACATGAAGAGGACCCAAATTCAAAAATTAAACTCTTTCACAAACCTTTTCGTGTTATAATATCATATTTTTCTGGAGTACAAACAATTAATTGAGTTAACATAAATTGTTCTTTACTCATTTGAACATCCCCAGTCATTTCACCAACCTTAAAAAAATTTTTTAATTGAAAAAAAAATCAAAATTTCTCACAGTAATTCCATAAGCTTCTTCCAATCTTTGTTTAAAACTTCCAACCATTTCTTGTACTAACGACCTCATTGGGGCAACATAAATACATTTAAATTCATCTTTTCTAATTGTTGTATCTTCATTCATATGTTTTGACATTTCACGTAAAATACAAAGTAAAGCAACATTTGTTTTTCCAGCGCCAGTTGGGGCACAAACTAACAAATTGTTGTCTGTATGTAAACCTTTTTTGTATATTGCTGATTGAATTCTATTTAATGTTCGATATCCTTTAAATGCTGGACGTGCCCATTTTGGTAAATCTTCAACGTCCATTAATTTCTAGAAAAGGAAAAATAAGCTCAAGTTTTGGAAATGGGTCTCATGAGCTTTTAAGCATTCCGACAGAATGTATGCGTTTACTCGGTGGCTTTGAGCAAGGCTATACCAAAATAAAATTCGAAAACTTATTGGGCACTTAGTTAGGCCACTCTTGGGACGTATATTTTTGGAATTTTGGAACTAATTTTGTAACGCCTAAAAGGTCATGAGACTCATAAAAGCTTATAAGACTCATGCTAAACTAAAGGCAAAAAATTCCTATTTAATAAAAAATTTAAAAGAAAACCTCATTTTCTCCAAAAGGTTTAGGCTTCAATGGAGGAACATAAATACTTTCATAACTCTTCTTTTGTGTTCTTTGTGATCCATCTGGCAAAACACATTTTTTGTTACTCATAGTATGTGATCCTTGTGCAAATGCCATATCTTCCAAATCATAAACTTTTCTTTGTTGTGTCCAACTTGCTGCTGCGACTGCTTCTTGTGCTGCTTCATTCATACGGCGTTGTTGGGCTGCTTTATCTCTTTTGCCACGTTCAGTCTGAAAGAAAATAGGGTCAAATAAGGTCTTCGGTAGAAAATAAGTCCAAAATAAAATGAATCCGTAAAATTAGGAGAACCTTATTCATGCTATTTGAGATGCAATGGGTCAGGCCCGTAGCCAGGGGGGGGGGGGGTGAGGGGGGGAATTCCCCCCCCCCCCCCCGAAATGGGAAAAAGGAAAAAATTTGAGGAAGGGCTGGGGCAAAAAAGTGAATTTTTTTGGCCTACGGCCTCTGAAATTTAAAAAATTTTCGCCTGCGGCGCTAAAAAAGGAAGAAATCTGGCTTTTTAAGGTCCAAAATCCAAAAAATTTTCGCCTGCGGCGCTGAAAATCAAAATTTTGGCGCCTGCGGCGCCGAAAAAGTGAATTTTTTTGGCCTACGACCTTCTAAAATTCAAAAAATTTTCGCCTGCGGCGCTGAAAATAAAAATTTTTGGCGCCTTCGGCGCCAAAAATTTGGCGCAAAAAATTCCCCCCCCCCCCCCCCCCCCGAAAAAAAATCCTGGCTACGGGCCTGCAATGGGTATCCAGAAATTACTAGCCATTTCAACTATCCCGACCAGACATTTTTCTCGATCCAAAAAAATTTGAACCCACGGCCCGGTTGATTTTATTTAGATAGCCTCAAAAACTTTCCCGGTTAAAAACTCATGAATTTACCGCAACAATATCATCTTCTCTAACTTCTATCAACTCATCCAAAATATTTTTCAGTTCAGGTTTACTAGCCATTTCATTTTCTATAGCTTCTCTTTCCTCTCCTTGTGTTTGCTTTAATCTTGTACAATAATAAATCATATGACGATTTTGACAAAGTTGTTTAATAAAATCAAAATGGGTAAAGCCAAGTAATAAAACCAAAGAATTTTCACATGCACGGTCATCAACGGAATTCTTTAAAAATTAAAAAAAAATATATATATAATTCTAAAAATTTCAAAAAAACCTTTAAAATATTCAAAACTTCTTGTGTTTTTTGTTGACTTTCATTAGGATCAAAATGTTTTGATAAATAACGTTTAACCCAATGAGCATCTATATCTCGCGGATTTAATTGTTTCTTCTTTAAAAAAGAGATTTTATTTAATTTAAAAAAGATTAGGTTCTGGTCTAGTTACTGTTATATATTATGCGTCCTATGAATCTTATAAGTCAAATAAAGCAAGCCCAATACAAATTTATACCCCCATTCGGTAAGCAGACCTTAGGGTGTGTTAGGTACAACTACTCAAGTAATGGTTTTTATGGCTATAGACGTATAAGTAACGCAAAACCCAGACCAGAGCCAAAAATTCAAGTATCAAAAAATAGAAAAATACCTCTCCAATTCCATTAGCTTTACCACCACCAGAACCCTCAGCAGTACGTAATGTTCCTTCATAAATAGCTTCAACACCAACATCTTCATCCTCACTTTTATCTTCTTTTAGTTCTGTTACCATTCGATCATCTTCTTCATCTGAATCAAAATGTACTGGAACACCTGCTGTTTCGTCAATATCATCCATCTATTTTTATAAAAAAATTTTTATTTAGTGGAATTTTTTAAAATTATTCAAGTTGAGTTAGGCCAACTTAGGGTCTCTCACTTGTTCAAAGTTGTTGGGACTGTTCATTGGGACCTTTCATCAACTTGTTCATTGGGACCTTTCCAAGGGTATTTCTAAACTGCTTGTCGTACTTGACCAAAGTCCAACCTTCCGAAAAGTAAACACGAAAAGAAGAAATAGTTGAAGAAGAATCCTTCCATTCGCCCCCCTCTCCCCAAAAAATAACTTAAAAAATCAGATTCGCGTTGCCAAAAAAATAACTTTGAAAAGTACAAAAACCCCAAATCACAAAACCCCCAAGTTTTCTAAAAAATTGTTTAAAAGCAAAACTTACAATATCCCTCTTTTCATCTTCATCATCAGGATTAAAATCAGTAATCTTTTTAGCCAAATTAGTTAATAAAGCAAAACGTTCTTCTGTCAATTTTGTTGAAAATAAATCTTCTGCTTCCTTTTTCTTTTCTTTTTCCCGGATTGAATCAGATTTTAATATTAAAAGAATTTCGTGTGAAGCTCCATGCAATATTTCTCGTGGTTGATCACCGATGATTTCTTGAATTAATGACAGAAAAACTTCAAAAGTATTGCGAGTTTCTTGAGTTCTAGGTTTGTAAATTCCAGCAATTCCTACTTCATCTACTGCTGTTTTTTGTTCTCGAATGTCTTCTCGATCGCGGGATTTTCTTAAAAAGGAATATGAATTAATTGTAGAAAAAAAGGAAAAAAGATATCCCAGCGAAGTCAACTTCATCATAAAAAGAGAAAAATAACCTATTACCAACGACAGATATCGAACCATCAACCTCTGGTTGATAGACAGTGTTAAAACCTAAGCCCAACCGACTAACCATGGAGACAATTATCACGAAGTTAAACTACCGTTCTTATAGAATACTTAAAGGCACAAAAACGTTCATTATAAGCCACAAACCCTCAAAAACAACTTCGTCAATGTCTCATAACTCAAAAAATTAAATTCTTATAATACCCTTTAGAAGCCTTTTTCTCAGCTGGCACAGCAGTTCTTCTATATTTATCACCCATTTTTGATCCACGCAAAAGATCTTTAGTAAGCGGCATAACTTCTCCTGTAGGTTCATCTCTTGCTCTCCTATCAGTAAGATTGTAATCAACTGACAATACAAGGTTAGAATTTTGTCTATATTCATATTGCTGTGAACGAGCAATTTGGTCAGTCATTTTTTATCTGAAAAAAAGAGAAAGTTAAAATTAAAATTGAACGAAAAGAAAATAAAAGCGCGATAAGGAATAAATCAAATTTAGAGCCAAATACTTTTAGAAATTCAAAATTCTCCGTTTTAAACACCTAAAATGAAATCGCAATCAATCGCAAATCGAAAAAAAGCTCTAAAAATTCATTAAAACCCCTAAAAATCTTCAAAAAAAGCCCGAAAAACTGTAAAAAATTTGTACAAAACACTAACACACTCTTCTAAATACACACTATTTCTTCCATTTATTTCTCTAACCAACACTATTTCTCTTTTTCCTTTCTCTAGACAATTCACATTTTACACTAGAACTTAATACAAGACGTTTTGTAGCAAACATTTTCGTCAGCCGTTTTAAAGCGAGACACATTAACTCATCTACAGTACCCAATTATCTCTCATTTGCATTTTTGACTGTAAAAATTCCTAGATTTTTAACACCTTAATAATACAATTATAAGTACATTTTTTACTCTATTCCAAATAGTCCAAGTAGTTAACTTTGTTTGCCCTATTAATTTTCAGATTCATGAATAATTATTAAAAAAAAGAATTTTTAAATGTAAATAACCTCCAAGAAACCCCCTCCCCCAGCAGATCGAGGGAAAAAACAACAAAAATATAAAAAATAAACATTTTAAGCTCCAGACAATTTAAAAAAACATGAAAATCTTTAAAATAAATTTTCTTTGAACTTTTCAAAATTAACTAAAAATTAATTTTTAAAACCCCCTTTAAAAGCCTCTTATTTTTTGTTGATTCTTTTGGAGGTGATCTTTTGGACTTGCCTTATTTAATGGAAATTTTCTAATTTTTTTTCTTTATCCCAAATTTGTTTTATTCCATTTTCAAATAAATAAATTAGTATATATTTGTGGCAATTTAATGAGTGTTAGATAAAAAAGGGGGGGAAGCTTCTTTTAACGAAAAAAGTTGTTGGTTTTACACAGAATTGTTAAAAAGAAGGCAAATTTGTGACAATAATGTGTTGCATTAGGTAGAAAAAAATTAAATTTTTTTAATCCCTTAGAGTATTTAAGAAAAATACGAAAGTTTTTAAAAGCTTTTCTTTCCCCCAAAAAAATTTTTTTTAAATATATTTTTGGTTTAAAAAAAAATATTGAGAAATTCTTCAAAATTATTTTTATTGAAACACATTAAAAATTTTAAAAATGATGTTAGAAATTATCACAAAATTTTTTGCCAAAATTTTTGTAGAATATTTTTTTAAATAAATACTTTTTAAATGAATTAAATTAACTTTTTTTTCGGTATTTTTAAAGGTATCTAAGGTAATTTATGGCACACCCTTAAGAAGCATTAAGCCTTAAAAAGCATATATTAATAAATAAAATTATTTTCAAACTATATTGGAAATAATTTATGTTATTATATGTATAAATATTTTTAAATAAATATTTTTTGGTTTCTTTAAAAAATAATTACTAAAATTTGCAAATTTTCTTCCTCCCAACTTAGTAGATAGAGCAAAAAATTTTTAAAAAAATCAGTGTGCTGGTCTAGTTTATGCGTCCAATGAACTTTTACTTCAGACCCATCGGGCGTAGGTCCCGAACATGAAGAAATGTTTGGAACCATGTCCTTACTTTGCAACACCAAGAAAAATTCAATTATTTTCTGATTGGACGCATAAACTAAACCAGCGCCAAAATCAGTCTTATGTCAGTGAAGGGATGGTCTTGAACAATACTTGGCATCGAAGAGCCTTCTTAAGATGTATGGTAATTTTGAAAAAATTGCAGACGCCATTTTACTGCAATTTTTACGATAAAATGATGTCACAGTAATGTTTACTTATTTTCTCATTATTTTTTTTGGAAAGATAACCTAGACCCTTCCAAAAAAAATTTTTCCAAATTATTTTTACCCAATAAATGTAATTAATGCCTATTTTTTTATTTCTTTAGTTTTTTTTATTTATTTGAGTGCCACTATTCTTATTTACATTTTTCTTGTAAAATAACAACAATTAAATAATGGGGGGATAAGGGGGGAATTAATAAACATAAAAAAACAAAAACCAATTTTTTTCTAACGGTTTTTTAATGGTTGAGAAAAAGGCAAATAAAAGGAAGAAGAGTTTAGTCTAGGTCTCAGTCTTTCCAATTGTAAGAAAATTTCTTTTAAAATTGGAAAAATTTTTTTTTGGAAAATTAAGGAGAAAATAGAAAATCCAAGTCCTTTTAATCCAAGTCCTTCCTTTTTTTCTGGAAATATTTAAAAATAAAAAATCCAAGTCGTTTGGAGAGCCTCAACCTTATCATCTCTTAACCCAACCCCATCCTCCAATCCCTCATTCCCGTCTCCCAAAAAAATCGTCGTTTTACAGTCTTCCTTCTAATTTTTTTGGAAGGACCCTCTGGTAGACCCTCCTCACATCATAACCCTCATCCTCTAATACTTAGTCCCTTAACTCTTCCAAAAACGTCACACTTCCTTTTAATTTTTGGAACGGATTATCTAGTGAATTTTTAACACTTAAAAAATATTTTTACACAACTTTTTTCTTTCTTTTCCGCTTCCACTAAATTTTAAATTTTTTATTTATTTTATAAAATACCCCACGCATTTCTTACAAAAAAACGTCTAATCCTGTTAATCTCTCTTTTTTGCCCTCTTAACAAACTTTTTTGGTGGTGGTCTAAGTGAAGTGCCTTTTAAAAATGAAAAAAATATGGAATAAAATTGAATTATTAAAATCCTTATGAAAAGTTTCTGTGTGTTTTAAGCCTCGTTAGAAGATTGTCCCATAAAAATTTTTCTTGTTTTTTAGTATAAATATCATGAGAATATTATCGCGTGACATAAAAATCAGCACATTTGTGACAAACTTTTAAGCAAAAACAAACTAGTTAGATGTCAAAAGTACTAATTTTTTCTTTAAAAAACGTGCCAAGAAATTATTCTTAGGGTATTTTTTCTTAAAAAACAAAACAAAGTTTGATTGAGGGGACAACTTAAATATCCCTATGAGAAACCCCTTTGATGCCAAAAAGGTTCTTGTTAACCTATCAACATCAAGACTGGTCGTTTCCATTTTTCCTTGTCTTATCTGTAAGGTTGGGGGTTTCGGATCAGACCGACGTTCAGTCATTTTTATCAGGCCAGATCGACCGAGTCTATTTCTTGCCAATATTCGATGCCTGACCCGATCTTCCGGACCGGACCCCCAACCTCTGCTCCAGAATAGGAAAAATCTCCTTCAGCATTCTTACAAAATATTCTCAGTATTCACAATTTCCAAGAACGTCATTTTTTGTTCCGAAAAAATTATTTTTGGAACACAAGTATTTTTCAAGACATGCCATTTTTTAATACAAACTTATATATTTATAGACATATTTATTAATAATTTAATCATTTTCTCTTAACCTACACTTCAAAAAAATTATTTTTTCTACCTAAAAATAGAAAATAACACCCCCTAAAAACCTCCTATTCTTCCTCTAAAAAATTTAATTTAAATATAGAAACTTGTAAGGAAATTAAAAAGTTCTTTGCTTCAATAAACTTGACACTCAAAAAATTCATTTAAAAAAAGACTCGTCACCTCCTTTTCTTGTAAAAGCAATAATTTTTTATTTTAATTTTCCTTCAAGTATTCAACAACTTTTAAAAGAAACTTAGTAGCCCCAAGTCTCCCCATCACCCTTCCCTTTTCTAATTTTTTTAATCTCTCTTGGGACATTAGAATTTTTTCTCAAGTTTTTTTATTGCCAATAAATTACTACCTATATATAAATACAAAATTAAATTATCACTTTTGCTAAGAAAAATTTTTTTCACTTCAAAATCTATACAACACCTCCAAACACACGAACAAACTCATTTTTTTCTTTCTAGTTTTTCCCTTGATTCAATAGACAATCGAATTTCGTTATAGTATAACCCCAGGTATATAATTCTCTCTATTTAGTGTCTCCATTATTTAAGATGGTTGACCACTAGTAGTAGAGGAAGAAGGAAGCTGAGGAAGACTCCAATTTAGTGTACCACTCATTTTAAGGGTACGTTTTTTTCAGACCCTTTAGGGGTACGTATTTTCAGACTATATAACGATGGTCGACTATATAGGAACCTATCAAAGGTATTTACATATAAGCCCCAAATTTTCATACGAATCCCCCTCCCCCCAACCCTCACCCCTCTTGCCTTCACTTTATTCTCACTTTCAGACGCACTCTTAAAATTTTCAATAAAAATTTTTTAAACTTTAAAGACTCGTCTCTCTATAATTATTAAATTTTAAAAATTAATTACACGCTTCTTCCGCTTCTTAACTAAAAATTTTCATAAAGTGAGATGGCACAAATATTTAATACGATATTAGCAACACTAATTTTTAGTGCTTTTTTTATCAGCCGTTTTTCAAACGGACAACTTACTAATGATTTTGGGTAAACAAAAAAATTATTTTAGAAAAATCAGAAATCATAAATATCAAAATTAAGAAAATCAGAAGAATCAAACAAGAAAAAACAATTTCAGAAATCAGAAATGAAAAAAATCAGAAAATCAGAAAAATTAAAATCAGAAAAATCAACCCAGAAAAATCAGAATTTCAATTCAGAATCAGGGAAAAAAATCAAAAATTTAGAAAATCAGAAATTTAGAAAACCAGAAAGTCAAACCAAAAATCAGAATTTAAATCAGAAAATCATTTCAATTTTCCCCTAGTTCACAATTAATGTCCCTTCAAGATTTTGGTGATGACTACAATAATGCAATATTCGCAGACATTGATGGAGATAATGAAAATAGTTATGAGAGGTAAGAGAGAGAATAAAAAAAATTCTGATTTATCAGAATATTCTGATTTTATTAAAAAAAATTAAATTTTATAGTATGGCTAAACGAGCACCATTAGACCGATCAGCGTTAGTCAGGTATAATAAAACTGAAAAGTAATATTTACAAAAAAATTTTTATAGATTCGGAAAGAGAGCTCCACTTGATCGGTCAGCATTAGTCAGGTAACAATAAAAAATTTTTAATATAAAATCGAGACTTGGAAATGTTAAAAATGTGATGGAATAACAGTAGAAGCTCTCTCTAAAGCATCGTTTCTTCCCACGTTTTATTGTTAGATCATTAAAATTCGGTCCCAAAAAGTGACGTAATAGAGAGATTATAGGGATAATGAAAATAATTATGGGATAAATTATAGTGGATTTATTTGGTGAGTGATATTGGAAGCTAACGCTTTCTAACGCTCTAGAACGAGAAGTGACTTAATAAAGAGAGAGATTCCACCTATTCCGGAAAAAATTAAAACAGAGAATAATAATTTTCCGAAAATTTATTATTTAAATATTTTAATTATTCAACAGATTTGGTAAAAGAGCTCCACTTGATCGAGCCGCTATGGTTAGGTAAGTAAAGCAATTAAAAGAATTTTAACTTAAAAACCCCTTGGATTAGCTTATAAATTTCTTAAGATTTGGAAAGCGTGCTCCACTCGATCGAGCAGCAATGGTCAGATTTGGAAAAAGAGAAAAATTAAAATAGTATTAGGGTATCAAAATAGCCATTTAGGGTATCAATGTCATCAAAGAACATTTCATTAATCCGCATAGAACGAAACACTTGACTAGCCCTTTTAAATCGTGGCACAATTTCATCTTAATGTGAAGTATAAAATGAAGTGGAGAGGTAAAAGTCTAGTCTCCTACATAGTATTGCTAGGCGCTTTCGCTCAACACGTACAGGTGCTTCACCGACTAATCTTTAACCTTCTTTAATAGATCTTGAACCCCCGCCTAGTACGCATTTTAAATTCTAGCTACCTTTTCCTTGCCTGTCCTTTCCTTACAATGATAAATATGTACCCTACCAAAGCGGTTGTTCCATCCGTGTAGCCATCTCAATAAAGAACTTCATTTTATCTCCACTTCATTTTATACTTCACATTAAGATGAAATTGTGCCACGATTTAAAAGGGCTAGTCAAGTGTTTCGTTCTATGCGGATTAATGAAATGTTCTTTGATGACATTGATACCCTAAATGGCTTTACTCGCCAGTTGACCAGGTTCTTAGTAATGAAAAAATTTATACAAAAATCAAGTTTAGCGCAGCAGATTATTATCCTGGTGGTGCCCTAGGCTACGATAAAGAAGGAAATCTACTTGCATTGCAAACAATGGGTTCATAAACAACTACTTTTTTATAAACAATAACATTCTCAGGTAGATCACACCCCAAACAATTGGCTAGATGCGGCCGTGTCAGCGACGTTTATCGCCTTTGTGTTGTAGAGACGGCATTGTTCTATAAGGCAAAAAATTTTTATAGAATTTTTTGAAACCTCAATCTTAGCTCATTCAACTCCAAGAACGCAAACTTCAACGAAAACTTGGACTTTGCGTGATTATCGACTTGGAAGGGTTCAATTCTGATCATTTAACTACGATTGGGTTAAAAGTCTATGCAGCCTTGTTAAAAGAATTACAAGATTTGTTTCCTGATATGTTGCGACAAGTATGATTTATCCGGTACACCTCAGTTCAGTCCCGGTCCCTATAACTTTTGAAGGAACCTTTACCTCAATATTTTTGGTATCATTGGATAGAAAATTAAATACACTACAGGCGACCAAAAAATAAACATGAGTTATACATGAGTTATAGGATCGGAACTGAACTGCTCCGCGTTTTCCTTCATAAATAATTTTGTGCAGATTTATGTAATTAATGCTCATTATCTTGTCAAAACCGCTTATGCAATTATTAAACCAGTATTATCTGAACAAAGTAGAGAGAAAGTTATTTTTCTTGATTCTTCTTATCATGAACAATTAGCCGAGGGTGTTGGTAGAGAAAATTTGTTTCAACGTTGGGGAGGAATTAGACAGCCACTTAGAGGTGATCCTGAATGGGGTACTTTACGTATTGGTGGATTGCCTCCGAAAGGAATGAGGTAAAACGAAAATCCGCGAAACGCTAAAAGCCAAAGGCGAAACTGGCACATCCCTGATTAATACCTTATCTTAAAGATATTCTGCTGCCACAAACCCACAACACGTACCAGAAGGTCAACTTACAAAATTAATTGTGCCCGCAAGGCAGAGACGAATTGTTGATATTTCTGTGCCTCCGCAACCTGGGTTCCCTCAACAGATGTTGTATTGGTTTTGGATAAGTTCCTCTGATGTTGATTTCGGTGTAATTAACGAAGAGGAACAAGAGGTAGAAAAAAGGGGTTAAAAAGCAATTTTATCGTTTTTTCAAGTCATGGCCAATCTATCGGATATTGACAGATTATGTGCCAGAATTTGGCTCTCTTTTAGTTGAGACTGGACGTAACTACAAACTTTGTTTTGATAATACTTTTAGTCTGTTTACAAAAAAAGAAATAAAATACTCTTACAAATTGGTACCAATTGAAGATACAAAAAGAAAGGAAGATAATGAAGTTAAAATTAAAAATGCTGTAAAATTGGAGGAAGAAAAGGAGAACAAACGACAAATTATAGGATGAACTGTCAGATGCGAATTAAAAATCTTGAACTGCCAAATTGAATTAAAAATTTTAAAAATTTCTATGAATATTGTCAAATAATTATCAAATAAAGAATTAGCATTATATTTTAAGATACACCTCAACTGAGTTCCTACCCTAGGACTAAGTTGAATTTTTCCTTATTCTTTTAGCTACATAACTAATCACGCCTTTCCGGTCAAACTTAAATTTCTTTTTAAATATCCTTTTATTTTCAATCTTTGTTCACCCTTCCCTTAAGGCACAAAGTCTTTCCTTTTAGCATTTTCCCTTTTAATCCTTATTTTGCCAAAAGCTCTCTCCCAACCCAAAGAAGGAAATACCATCAAGGAAGTCCTAAAAAGTGGCCATTAGCAACAACAAAAAGTCTGCTAATCGACCCAAGTGGAGCAAAAAAGTTAAAAAGTATTGGTGTTATTTTTAAATAAAAAATTATGTATTTATTCCTTATTTTTCGTTAAAAATCTTCTTAAAAGTATTTTCTTTCAAAAATTTTTTTCAATTTCAAACTTTCTTTTAAACCTTCCTTTTGTTTTTTAACAAAATATAATTTCCGCTAGTTGACCATTTCCTTGAAACAAGTAAAACCTTTTAAAATGGCAAAATTGCTTAAAGTAGTTTTGCAAGGATTTTAAGACTTTTTCACACCTTTACCGCTTTACTTTCTCTAAAAAATTCCAATTTTTGAGATTTATTTATTTTAATTTTTTCTGTTTTTTCTGTTTTAATTGTTAAAATTTTGTTCCACCTGCTTATTTATTCCTTTCTACCTTTTTTATTTAATTAATTTTTTTAAAGATTCGCTGTTTTCTTTCACCGATTTCTTTATTACACAAACTGATTATACTATCTATAATTTAATTATAATTAGTTTTGGAAAGAAAAAAATTCGGAAAATTCGGAGAATCAAACATTTTTACACTTTTGAAACAAGCATTTTTTAAAATCATTTTCACACTTTCTTTGTAAATCCTACATAATATTATTTTAATTTAATCCTTTAAAAACTCTTTTTTACTCACTTTATTACCAGTTTATAATGTTTGTTATTTGTTGCACGACCGACAGTCATTTTCTGTTGCGCGGAGATTATGCCATCAAAAATGCAATGATGCATGCAGCCAAAAAGGCTGTCTATCAAAGCAACTAGGAGGGTGCTGACCTCGCTATTTAGGGGAGTTAAAAAAGTACCGACTGACTATATTTGCTTGAATTATCCTCGCTGGATAAACTTGCGCCACTGAAAGGGCTATAACTAAGTTCATATAAGTTAGATTTTGTTGATTTTAGTGCCATTCGACTCAGCTCGAAGAGCTCTTTCTAATGGTATATAATTTGCCATAAAAAAGGAAAAAATAGGAAAACTGGAAAGGAAAAAAGGAGGGCGTAAACCGAATTACTACCGTTTGATTTGCCAAATTGTAGCTTTTTTTCTTTATCCTTTAAGATTTATTTTAGAGAAGCTGTGAATACAAATCTTCAATATTTACATAATATTTTTCCCTTTTTATCTAATACATTACCTTCATATAAGCATCTATTTACTCTTCTAAATAATTACCTTTTCGTTAAAGCCATTCTAAAAATAATTCTTCTACAAATGATGAGTAAATGAAGGTTAATGCTTTACAATTTTTATTTGTAATGTCCACTCTCTTAATTATTTTTCTTTCCAGAAATAAAATGTGATATTTAATTGCTATCATCTCTCATTATTAAAGGCCCAAGAATAAAGGCTATATTTAGAAAGGAAAAATAATAATCCCGAAACCAACAAAACAAAGCACGAGCGAGATAGACGGTGACCGCTATTATTATTATCTGCACTTTGTAAATATTTCCCCAATAACAATCCAAATAGGGCAATGAGGATAAAGCAAAGCAAGCAAAAATGTAAATTAAGTCGGATAAAGACAAAGGGAGAGAATATTTTAAAATATATTTGCCCTAGTTTCTTTATTTTTTTTATTAAAGATTTCGGTGCACCTCAGTTCAGTCCCGATCCTATAACTTGTGAAGGGGCTGATAATTTTCAATGTTCTCGATATCATTGGATAGAGAATTAAATACACTAAAAGATTTCAAAAAATCAAAATTTTCGATTGATTTACAAAAAAGTTATGATAGAAAAAGTGCCGAAAAATAATATTTTTTGAAAAAGTTAATTTTTAAATCGTAACTTTTTTATCAATTGGTCGAGAATTTTAATTTTTTATAATCCTGTAGTGTATTCAATTTCCTATCCATAGTACCAAAAACATGAATAAGTGACCATCACTTCATGAGTTATATGGTCGGGAATGAACTGCGCCGGGAATGAACTGTACTGCTCCGTAAAGATTTGCCTAATTAATTTTCAAAAAAAACTTTTTTTAACACCTTTCTATCAGATTTCTATACTCATTTCCTCCAATTTTATATTTCCACCTAATTCATTCATGCATAGGTCATTGCCCATCTGCCATCAAATTTTCACATTTTATCCTTGCAAAAATCCCTTCTATCCCCTTTCCTCTTCTTCCAGTAAAATCTGTCTAGTTGTGTGAAATTTGACACTTTTGCACGTCTCAAGGCGCATCTGTGCTGTCACTATTTAATGTGATGAAAATACTTTTAAAGAAAATATTTGGAAAAAAATTATTTTTCGGTGAAAAAATTTAGTAGTTATTTAAAAAATAAAATGACTGGTTAATGGATATGCAGCTTTTCGGAATTACTATAGATTTTTAAGGTTAATATAAGTCTAACAATAAGGGTGAAGAAGAATGGGATTTATGGCTATAGTTTTTTGTGTTATTTAAAATTTTTGATGTTGTATTTTGCTTAAAATATATTTCGTACGTTAATAAGTTTAGGAAGAAAGGCACAATATGTTTTTTAAATGACCACCTCCAAATAAAATTTGCTTGCGAAAGGAGGAAGGATTTTGAGCATTTATTCCAGTTTTAACACAAACTGGGATAAATGGCCTAGGGAGAAAACGAAAGGAAAAGCTAGTGAGTATCTAAATTTGGACACTAATTGTGTTTGTATTTGCAAAATAAAATAAATTATTTCAGCTTTCACATTCCAAAATCAAAGCTAATATCTTTCCTTTCTTTCAGTCGTGTTAAAAAGATATACAATTTGTATTATTTTTTATTATTTTAAATTAACAATAAATTCCCTATTGTACTTGTACAATCCTCTTAACTATATTCTCTCCTAATTTGCAAAATCGGCTGTCACAAACCAGATCCGCTCATTTTTTCTCATCGTTTTGCATCGCAAAGTAGTGCTTCTAATAAAGCCATGTCAAGAGCGTTCTCTTCCCTTTAGCTTTCCATAAAGCATATTTTAAAAAAATAAAAAGAATTTTTTATTTATTTCTTCATCACTTTTCTCCCTAGAACATGTAAAATTATTGTAAAAATAGTGTGACTAAAGGAATGTTTTTTTACAATTTTTATTTCTGTAAAGATTTTTCCGGAGCAGTTTAGTTCAGTCCCGACGCTGTTCAGTCGCATAACTCATGAAAGGATGGTCACTTAATTGTGTTCTTGGTACCGTTGGATAAAGAATAGGATCGGGACTGAAGTGAGTCGGGACTGCCCTGAGGACTACCCTATTTTACAATTATACTCTCTTAATAATTTAATCTATGTATATTTTTAATCATTAGCATTTTAAATGAATTGTTTAGCTGTAAAACTTGTGTTAAAAGAGCATTTCTTCTCTTTATTTTGCCTCTCCTAATTGCGTGTTCCGCAAATATGTACTTTTTTCCTTATTTTCCGGCTTCCATTTAAGACAGATTTAAAAATGATACAACAAACAAACAACAAATGGCAACGAGGCAGCATAGTTTTGCCTAAATTTAAAATTTGGACAGGAAACTGATGAGCGAAATGAAAAAGGCACATAAAAGAATTCCCTCTCCAAAAAAAGGAGGAGGATTCTTTTCTCGATGGAATTTGGCTTGTTAAAAATTTTTCGGATTTCTTCTAATTTATACATATTTTATCCATAAGAAGTCGTTCATTTTTTATTACAAATTTTTTTGGAATAAACGAAAATGGATAAGAGTTCGAAATTTGAAATATGCCGGATCTGTTTCCGGATTTCAAAAAAATTTTTTTCCGGAAAATCAGATTCCGGACTACCAGATCAGAAAAATCCGGATCCTGTCCTGTTTTGAACTCTAATTATTGGACTGATTTTGTCTTCATTCTTCTCGATAAATTTTCAAAAACCGTTTATTAATTGGCAACTAATTATTCCATAATTCTAATTGTTTTTCTTAAACATTTTTAATAATTAATCCTTCCTATAACCTTTAATCCTTTTCAGCAACCAGTTCTGCATTTAATGCCTCAATGAATACTTAAAAAACTGCATACTAGGTGGATAAATATGCGAAAATAGAGTAGTAATAACTAAGGGCAAATTTAGTGAGTGGATGATCCAAAAATTGCTGCTCGCGCATTCAGCAGATTTTCAAGCGAAGAGCGGATTAAGGCCAGGAAATGGGGAGCGATTATGTTACAGCAGATGGGTGAATACTTAAAAATACATTACATATTTTCATCTATCTGTTATTTTCTAATTTAGAAATTCTACTTTTTAGGGTCAAAAATTTTTTAAACGCTCCTATTTAGACCTTAAATTTGGTTTTAATATTTTTTCATTCACATTTTTGTAATCCCAATATTTTATCCTTTTTTTGTCCCAATCTTTCACATTCCTTCCATTGATTGGACAGCGCAACATGGTCAAAATCCTTTCATATTACACCAACTACCCATCTTTTTTTGTCACCGCCCATTATTCTTTCCTATCCATTGTTCGTTAAATGAAGTGTTTGTCTTGGTTTTAAGGGCTTGGTGGTGGTTGTGGTCTTGCGGCGATGAGCCGATTGGAGTGCTTTTAAGATAACGAATGTTTAGCAAAAGGAAAAATAAAGAGATCAATACAATACGGGCCATAAATAAATTTGTCATGGAAGTACAGTTGGAATAGTCTTGGGCAAAATTTCAAAGATAAGCAATCATCACTAGCAACGACAAAAAAATTTTAATTTGAGAGGGTCTCATTTGCATCCTCCTTCAAACATTTCCTTAGTGAATGACCCCCCTTTGTTCCCAGCCAAACTTTTTTTTATTCGGAGGGTGAAGGGTGTCTCTTCCGTCCAGCTAATCAATTCATCGCCGAGTGGGGGATACACTGAACGATTGCCCTTCTCTCTATCCGTTGTCCTCTGTTCTTCCATTCCCTTTATTCAACAAAAATTCTTCCCCATTTGCGCCCTCCTTTCTACCCCTTCCCCCAAAAAATATGGGGGGTATTTGCGATAGTATATACGAACTTCCCTTTTTCTTCTCCTCCAAATGTAGTAAATTCTTCCTTCCAAATTGATATTTTATAAGCTTATAAAGTAGCTAACCGAAAATAGCAGATCGATTCACTTGATTGGGTTTGAAGGTCAGTTAGGAAGGGACAACTAGTATCATGCTCAAATGAATCATCTTATTCTTTCATTTAAATTTAGATTAAATTGCATTCTAACTTTGTTTTTTTTCAAATTTCAAACTCTCCTTTTCACTGACCATTTTGAGCTTTTTTGCTTATCAGTATTTTTAAATTTCAGTTTAAACGGGCTTTCATAACTTCATTCCTATTATAATGAGTTTTTGAACTTTCAATCTTTTTCTTCATCAATATCAGAATGTTTAAACACACCAAGATTTTTGACGTGCCTTGTTTCAGTGGTCAAGATCTCACTAATTTTATCAACAATAAATGCCAATACCGCAATCGCCAAAAACAACGACAAACTCTGGCAACAAAAGACAACCCTCAGCAAAATTCCCGGACGGTTCACAGCCTTGAATTGAGTGCTAACCAAAGAAGGGAACCATCCTTTAAACTAGATCGATGGAGCATCAAAGTTGAAAATTTTCAAAAAAAAATTCCTCGGAATTTGTCTACTTCTGATAGATTAACAACAAAAACTATATTTATTTTAATATTTTTTCTTCTTTTAATTATTTCATCAGTACAAATTAATGGAGAAGATCAACAACGAAAACAACAAGATGAAGCGATTTTGGCTGTTTTTCGAGATAGCTATGAAGGACATGAAGTGGAATTACAGAGGATGGTTAGTTTTCTGGTATTTGTGTATTTTACCCCCCATAAATCCCAACCTTTTTTCTTCCCTCTTTTTTTAAGTGAAGTTGGGTCAATATTTTACATATTTCAGAAAATAAGTCCCTTTATAAGAAAGGAGGAGAGAAAAAAAGCGGCAGGGACTATGGGGCGTAAACTACACAAGTACCGTTTTTATTTTAAAAATAGCTTTTTAATCAATAAAGTGCCTTGTTTAGGTCATGGATAGATCAACGGGCCGTCTTTATGTTGGAGCCGTTAATCACTTGTATGATTTGTCTCCAGAAGGATTGGCGATCCGAGAACATGCTTTAACTGGGCCTCGTGCTGATTCTGTTCTTTGTGCAGGTCATTTTTAATTTTAAAAATTTTTTCGATTTTTGAATCTAATTTTATGATAAATTCCTAACTTTGTCTATCTCCGTCATTTGCTAAAAGAAATTAAAAGGGAAGGAAACTAATCGGTTTTTAAAATAAAAGAGACAAAGAAAAATGCAAAAGGATAGATTTATAGCTAAGATAAACAATGTTTAGAGCGCAAAGGTAAATCAAATGGAATGAGATCATAAGCAGGTGAAGATATTGATATTTTAGTCACAAATTTCTGGGGTAAACGAAAATTTTTAATCGAATTGATTGATTTTAGAAGTGGGTATAAATGGGTCCATCCCAGAAGGTCAACTTACCCATGAGGTCAAAACCAAATATTTGGGAGATAAAGACGGATTTGTGCATATTAAAATATATTTGTGGGTATTAAAGGGAATATCGATGGATTTGGGGGGGGGTGTGGTTTTTTTAGAACTTCGGTATCATTTGATTTCCTGGATCATGACCTCCTTGTTTTGAACCCGTTTAAATAAAAATTTTTAATCTTTTTAAATAATAGCAAGTTTATTTATTTTTGCATAATTTTTGTCTCTTTTAAATTTGCATAATCGCAATATAAACAAATAAAAAATTTCAAGGGCCCATATAATTTGAAAGAAAAAACAAGCGCAGTGTCGGGCGGAGATTGACAATAAGAAAAAATTGAGAGAGAAAATAAAAAAATAGAAAAATGCCGACTAAAAATAAAATTTTTAAATTGTTTTTTAAATTTCAGATGCCTTAAATATATGCAAAGAGCCATTAGTACCTACAGATTCACATATAAAGGCGTTGGCTATATTTCCGGATTCTAACAAATTGATTGAATGCACTTCTCTTTATCAGGTAACTAGAGAGAATTTTCTTTGATTTTTACCTATTTAGGTAATGCCGAGTATTCTCCTTTCCCAATACTAACAAGGAAATCTAATGGAAATTTGATAGGAAGTCTGACCCTTAAGTACATTTTAAGAAAAAATAGAAGGGGGAGGGCACGAAGCTCGGTATTATCTGTATTTCTATTTGTAGGGCCGTTGCCGAACCAGAAACTTGTCAAACATTCGTCGAGAGAGTGATGTTCGTTTCTCTAGGCCTGGAATTGTACCTAATGATGATCATTCTTCTGCTCAAGTATTTGTTGGTTCTGGCCCATCGACAGGAGGGTCTTCATCTCAGCCGCGTGTTCTTTATGTTGGATCCACCTACGTTCCTATTAGCTTAGGTTGGTTTAGCCAGAAACTTTACTAAATTTGTATTCCTCTAGGACCCCGAGATGCTTTAGACGTACCTTCAGTCTCCTCGATTTCACTGGAAAACGGTCGCCTTTTTGAGTTTACAGAGCAGTCAATCAGTTCTGGAACTTATATGAAACTGGATTATAGAAGGATGCCGTTTTTTAGGTAATTTCCTCTCATATTTTATTTAAATCTGAATTTAGAATTGATTATATTGGTGGTTTTGAGGCCAATGGTTTCGCTTATTTTGCTACAAGACAACCTAAATATACACCGCAACCTGATGCCCAACCGATTATTTCAAAGGTTTGAAACAGAATATTTTAGAATCGGTAATTTTTCTAATAGTTGGTTCGAGTCTGCACTCAAGATCCGAATTTCTACTCATATACTGAAGCTCCATTAGAGTGTGAATGGGCGGGCCAGAGTTACAATCTTCTCCAAGCTATTTATTTGGCCAATGCTGGGTTTGATCTTGGTAACAATTTTTTCATATTTTAATCTAGTATTAAATTCCAAATTATTTAGCGGCAACAATGCGATTAAAACCAACTGATCTTGTTCTGTTTGGAGCATTTGCAAGAGGGGAAGGCCCAGAGAGGAACCTAACAACTCGAGATTCTGCGTTATGTGCTTTTTCTCTTCGACATATCGAAGCCAAATTTTTTGAGAATGTTCGTGTCTGTTACAACGGAAATACACGTACAAACCTTCCTTGGTTCAATTCTGATAAAATGTGTACGGCAACACGATATCCGGACTCTGAAATTATGTGTGGCAAAGATGTGAATAGCTATATCGGTGGAGAGATACCAATTTCGGCTAGAGCTTTTCTCGTGGATCGAACTTCACTTTTTACTTCTTTAGCCATTTCATCCGTTCAAACAGCTACTGTTGCATTTATTGGCACGAGTGATGGTGTTCTTCATAAGGTAGTGCTTTTTTTCTTAAGGATTTAAAATGTTTGCTTTTGAATATTTAGGCGTTACTAGAAGGTGATGATGGACAATCACACATCTTTAAGTCAATCCAAGTTAGTAGCGATGGAACTCCTATCTTGCAGGACATGGAATTGGACGAAAAGAATGGATTTCTGTACGTATTACAAAAACGTGCGTTATACAAGGTTTTTATTATTAACAGAATATTCACCTTTATTGAAATTTCTTCAGATAAACATCCGTCTTTGCGCTCAATCACAAGATTGCCACTCATGTCTGAATGCAGGAGATCCATACTGTGGTTGGTGTTTAAAACCTTCGGCATGTACAACGCAAGAAGTTTGTGAGGCTGATGCTTTAAATCCACGTGCAGACTGGCTTAACTACAAATCAGGACGTTGTCCTGCTATTCGTGCCGTAGAACCACGGGAGCAACAAATAACATTTTCACGTCCTATTCATGTTCGTATAGAAAATGCGCCACCAGCACTTGCTAGTCATGATGGATCAACTAAAGCAACGCTTTACTGTTCTTTTCATTTTCCAAATCAAATGCTAGTCAATGTTTCAGCTATTTCTAGAGAGGGAGATCAGTAAGTTGGAATTTTTTAAAATTGCTATAATGGTTTTAACAAGTCCTGTTTATTTCAGAGTTGTTTGCGCAACACCAATTCGCTCAAACCTTAAAACTCTCTTGGCTAGAACTCAGACAATAAACGAAGTAGCACGGGATGGACTTGTTGCTCGTCTATCAATAGTTCAAAGTGCTGATTCAGCCGTACTTGCTTCAACTAATTTTACTTTCTTTGATTGCCATCAATTAATCAGTTGTCAAGAATGTGCTTCTGTTCGTTTTAGGTATATTAATTTTATTAAGTGGGTCGTAGTTATTATTTCCAGTTTATGCGATTGGTGCGCACTAACTGCTAAATGTGTCCCTAATGCTGAGGACGTTTGTCAAGGAGAATCACTTGTTAACTCCGTCAGTGTAAGTAATAAATGTTTGTGCATTTTAAAAATGTAATTTTAGAGAATTGGTCCTTCTTCGCGACGGGGCCCTGAATTCTGTCCTCAATTTTCATCTCCAGATGGCGATTTGTTTGTTTCATCAGGTCAGCGTCGCAGAGTTAAAGTTCAGGTTGTTTTGCTGTTGATTATATTCGGTTATGATTTTTTAAACAATTTAGGCTACCAATTTACATGAACAAATGGGGGCCTTCAAATGCCAATATACTCTAATTGAGCAAAATAGTGTTACGCATGAAAAATTGGCACAGCGAGAAGGAAATGAGATTATGTTTGTTTTATAATATTCTGTATCTGTATAATATTTATATTTCAGTTGTGAGGAGATGCTTTTTGATTTTAACGGTTCTGGTGATGGTAATGGGACTGGTACAGCTCTATTTAATATTGTTTGGGCACCACCTGGTTTAACAACTTCTACTATTTTTCATCCGCTTGATAACAGTCAAAAAATGAAAGTGGTCTGTTTTAATTATGTTTACTGGGTTGACTATTAATTATTAGATAATTTATCGGTGTCAACAATTGGCCACAAACTGTGGCCTTTGTTTAGGATTGGATTCGAGAAAGTTTGAATGTGGATGGTGTGAAAATGAGGGAATTTGTTCTCCAAAAAATGACTGCAAAGAAGGTTTTGTTTAGCATAATTTTTGTTGTTTTATTTTTGTATTCGTGTCAGGATGGCTTTCACGTGGAAGCAACAACTTAGTTTGCCCTAATCCTCGAATTGATGATTTTCAACCGCAGAAAGGTTAATTACTCTACTATATTTAGATCTAATAACATTGATAAATAGGTCCAATCAATGGAGGAACAAAAATAACTATTCATGGCACTAATTTGGGTTTAAGTTTTGCTGATGTTCGTGATACTGTGCGGGTTGCGAGTGCTAAATGTGATGTCAGTGAGGCAGAGTATTTGCCTTCTCGACGAATTGTTTGCTACACAAGAGCACCTAGCACACGTCAAAAGCAGGGACAGGTTTAAAATTTTATTTTAGTAAAGCCTAAAAATTACTTTAAAAACTATTTCAGCATGTGATTGTACGTTTGCGTGATGATCGTAAATACACGGCTGTTTCTACGCAGACTTTCACTTACACAAACCCTCAAATATCATCTTTTCAGCCATTTAGAGGACCAAAAAGTGGTGGAACAGATTTGACAGTAATTTAAAAATTCTAAATACAAATAAAATTTTTTTCACAGATTCTTGGTATGGATCTCGACTCTGGTATTACTTTTAACCTCAGTATTGGTAATTCACCCTGTGAGCTGCGTCAAAGGTCTTCTTCTATGGTCGTATGTAGAACGGGTCCAGCTTCATCTGAAAAGCCTGAGTATTTGGTTTTGAATGCAGATGGTACTCAAATACGGGTCGATAATGTTCAATTTCAATACACGTTAGAATTTATATCTATTCTGATATTAAGCTTTTTTAGTGCCAATCCTTCAATTGATCGTGTTCCAAAACCTGTTTCCACTATTTCTGGTGGAATTCTAATTGATGTACATGGCAATGGTTTGGATCTATTGCAGCGGCCTCGAATGATGATCAACTGGGAAGGACAGACCTTTTGGGGCGCTAAATGTGAAATAATTGACGAGCATTTAATGGTTTCTTTTTAATATAAATTTATTGTTCTATTTTAAAAAATTTTCAGATATGTAGAACTCCACCTTTAGAATTATCTTTGGATCGCCGTATTCAATTGAGCATTGAACGGCCTTTGCGAGTAGATTATGGATTTGATTTGGATGGCGCACTCACTGGGTATGTTTCTAATTTACATGATGAATTTCTTTGATAATTTTAGCAACTTGACTTCATCAGCAGACCGAACACTTCCTAAACTATTGGTTTTTCCTGATCCACGTCTTCAACCTCTCCCTGAAGTGCTAACTGTCCGACCAGTAATTTTATTATGAGTTTTTATTCACTGTTTTTCTCATTTAGGGAGGAGATTTAGTTCTAAAGGGGCACAATCTAAATTTGGCAGCGTCTGCACGCGATGTTCGTGTCACTGTTGGAGGTATGCCATGTAATGTAACTGCATTGGCTATTAATACACTCACATGTGTTTTACCTCAACACTTGGATGAAGGACAACGCGATGAACAAATGGATGTGCTAGTTTATATCGGAGACAAAATGTAACATTACGAATTTTTTAAATTAAAATTTTTGAAAATTTAAACCTCTAATTTTTTAATTTTTAGAGAGAAGGTCGGAGAGGCGTCTCAACACTTTCGGGTTCCAGATCCTTCACAATGGCTTATTTTAACTGTTGCTGTTGCCTTCCTTGGAGTATTTTTGGCATTGATGCTTTTCGTTTTTTATCGTCGCAAAGCTACTTGTCACAATAGACAATTGCATTATTTAAAGGCTCAAATGAATTCAATCGAGATGCGCGTTGCACAAGAGTGCAAAGAAGCTTTTCACGAATTACAAACAAAGTATTTTTAATTTAAACCTTTTTTATGATTTTAATTCATCTCTCAAATTTTTAGTATGAATGCTTTGGCTGGTAGTGTGCCTCAGGGTGCGTCTTTCATCCCTTTTCTGCCATATTCAGTTTATGCCGCTCGTATTCTTTTTCCACATTTTTCTGGTACTTCACCGGCATCATTGCATCCTGTCCTAAGAGAATTGACTGTTGAACAAGATAGAGCTTTACAAGTAGAAAGTAGCTTAAGGCAATTGCACTGCCTTCTCCAGAATCGTATTTTTCTTCTATGCTTTGTTCGTTCTATTGATGCTAACAAATATTTGCTGGTAAAGGATCGTGTTTATGTTGGTTCTCTTTTAATGGTTGTTCTACAGGTTTACAATTTTTACAAAAATTGTCTGACTTTATTTTATAGCGTGACTTTAATGTGCTCACTGACGTGCTCAAACAATTGCTCAGGGATTTAATTAGACGGAATGTTGAGAGTAAATTTCAACCAAAAATTCTTTTTCGTAGGGCAGAATCTGTGGCTGAAAGAATGGTCTGATTAATGTCTACAAAAAGATATTGAGTTTTATTTTTTAGTTATCTGCCTGGTTTGCATTTCTCATGTATAAACATTTGAGGAGAAGTGCTGGCAAACAACTTTATCAACTTTACTGGGCTACAAAACAACAAACTGAAAAAGGACCGCAAGATGCTATAACAATGGATGCCCGTTATTCCCTTTCAGAGGAAAAACTTTTGCGTGCTTCTGTTGACTTTAGGGAGCTAACAATTTTTATTTTGTCTGACTCAAATTCTACAGTTTGTGATACACAAGTTCGTGTACTTGATTGTGATTCTATTGGACAGGTTTTGTTTATTTTAATTTCTAAAATTAAAAAAAGATCAATTCAAGGTTAAAGAGCGTTGTTTGGATGCTAAATATAAAACAACACCTTTTTCTGAACGTCCATTATCTTCAGAAATTGATCTTGAATTGCGTACACCAAAACATAGGATGGTTTTGCAAGATCTAGATGGAAGTTCTCGATTTGAAGCAGGCGGTTTTTGGCGGTATAACACTCTAGCTCATTACAAGGTTGAGGATAAAGCAACATTTGCACTTGTTCCTAGAAATGCCACCTCATCTTCTTACAATCTTTCTCTGGTTATTGAAACTTCTCTTAATACTAATACTCTATATTATTTTTTAGATTTCTGATAAATCTGACAAATCTTCTGGTGGTTCTTTTGCATTTTCTTCTACCCATTTTCATCAATACACTGCTACAGCCAATAGTCCAGTTCTTCAAAAAACTTCTGCTGTTGGTGGTGGAGGTTCTTTTTTCACTACTGGCTCTATTGGCGGTCATTCTATAGCTGGCGGTGGAAGGTCGGCCGCAGATACTTTTGCAGCTGGCGGCACTGGAACAATGCGTGTTTTTCATTTGGTCAGACCACCAAACTCAAATGTTTCTCATGGAACAGAAGGTCAAGAACAGAAAATGGTCACTGAAATTTATTTAACAAGGCTGCTGACAATGAAAGGGACATTACAAAAGTTTTAATATATTTTTTAAGCTCTAGATAAATCCATATTTTAGGTTCATTGAGGATATGCTTGAAACTATTTTCTCTTCAACCTCATCACCTCAATCTCCTTTTCCATATTGTGTAAAGTATATGTTTGATTTCCTTGATGATCAAGCTCGTGAACATGGAATTGTCGACCCTGAAGTGGTGAGTTTTTGATATTGCTTCTAAATCAGATAAATTTTTTTCTATTTGTTATTCAGGTGCATGTATGGAAGAGCAATTCACTACCACTTCGTTTTTGGGTTAACCTTATTAAGAACCCTGATTTCATTTTTGACATCCAAAAGCCGACACGCATTGAAGGATCTCTAAATGTTGTGGCCCAAACTCTTATGGATGCATGTTCTACTCATGAACAACATTTAACGAAAGACTCACCAAGTAGTAAACTTCTTTTTGCAAATGAGATGGACAAATACCGTCAATGGGTTCAGCGTTTTTATACTCAAATTGCAGAGGCAGAGCCAATTCCTGATAGAGTAAATAATTAAAATTATCTAAACAATTTATAATCTTCCTAGGAGATGGCTATGCTTTTGGCTGAAGAGAGTCAAGAACATGGACAAGAATTTATGATTTACTCGGCTCTTAACGAAATTTATTCTTATGTGAATCAAAATAAGGTTGTCTTTTAATAACCACGTTGAGATATGTATTTTATTTTAATTTTCATAGGAAATGCTTTTTGAAGAATTGAGCCAAAATGAATTTGCTTTGCAACAACAACTACCTGAGGCTCTTCACAAACTATTAGATACAATGGAAGTTCCTCCCGATGCTCAATTCAACGGTTCCATGTTACTATCGGATACTTATGCCGATTCGAAGACCAAACTTGTGACACACAACGGTAACTTTTATTAGCCATCATTATAGCTTTTCTCATCCTTTTTTTTCATCATATAAATTTAATTATAATCTTGATTCTCCCTTCTTTTACTACATATAACTTTGTTATCTGATCATTGTGACTTCAGGATTACTCGATTCTAGCTACTTTTTTCGTTAACTGCTTTAAGATATGTTTTTTTTTCGAAATTTCCTTCTGCCCTAAACTCATGGGGCCAGTAAATCGTAGAGATGACTTATCAAACAATTTTACGGCTTGTCACACTCTTCATCGCTACGTCATCATAATCCTTAAGTCACTCGTATATCCCCAAGCCATTTTAAACGGGTCCGAATAATTTTTTTTAATTTTTTCATTCCAACATTTTTTGTATTTTATTTATATACATTATATTTTAGACATTTTAATAAATTGTATTTAATAAAAATTGTATTATGCATATTTATAAAAATTTGATAAAAAGTTCTATTACCTTAATATTTGTAGTTTCTACTCGTTTAATAATTTTATTTGAAATTTAAATAATATAAACAATTAAATTTACCATTAAAAATGTCGAAACCAGAATTCTAATTATCTCGAATTTTAATATGGATGGTAATGAGGATGATGAATTTTGTTCATTTTCATCTTGTACGTCCTTTTCTCGTTCAATTGATGAAATATCGTCATCTTCGTTTTGTCTTTCAACTTCGAGACTTTTTGAGGCAACTACGGCGGTTGGAATATCAACAATAAGATGTTCATTGGCAACAAATGAAGAGAAATTTGAAGAAGAGGTTGGATTTTTCATTAATATTTTTCCATTTTTTTGTAGATGCTTTTCCATTGGATGATTGGTCGTTATGTTTGGATCCTTTCCATCGTTATTATGCCTATTTTCTGTTGAATGATCAAAATGGATTAGAGGAACGCGGATTTGGTTCATTTGGCTTTGGTTGACAAATTCTATTTCTATGTGGCCTCGATTTGTGGCTTAGAATTGAAAGGTTAATTGAAAATTTTTAAAAAATTTATACATTCACTCCCATGATATTTCCATTGATAATCATTTTCCGATTTAAATTTTTCATCACGCCCAATTTTTGACTCCCCTTTTGCGTATAGCAAAAATATTTTTCCCGGACCAAGTGGATGATCAGTCGGTTCGATTTCTGTAAAATAATTTAAGATTTCTAACATCTTTTTATATTTTGGTCTTTTCCATAACGAGCCCCCAGAAACCTGATATAAGTCTTCGAAACATTAATAAACTTCTATTTCCAGTTTGTAATCCGTATGCGGCACTCAACGATTCCTCTCCATCCAGCAATGAATCGCGAAGAGGACTACTCATATCTCGTGAATATAAATCTTCAATATGCAGCAAATTCCCTTCTCGAATTGAGCCCATTATCATATCAACACATTCCATTGGATGCAATGGTTGTTCGAGCCATTCACGGGCTGTGTTTTGAAGTAAGTTTACTATTTAAAAAATTTATTTTCTTACAAAATCCGCTTGTTTGGACATTTTTCTGCTCTAATGACGAAATCATTTGAGGGAAAAGTCGACAAGAAGGAGGTATTTGGAGGGGTCTCCATCCAAGTCCAATCCATTTGTGTAAATGTGTAGTCCAAAAATCCAGAATTATTTCTAGTTGATTTCCCACTAAGCGCCAATGTAAACGATCTCCCTCATCCGTTTCCTCTGTATTTAGCGTCTTGCTTGAATAGCAATCTGGATTGAAAAGTCCGTAGCGAAGATTGCCATTGGCCTCGGCATTAGGACTAGGACCAACATGTCGGAAGCAATTTTGGTCCTCGGGATCAGGATCAGATCCGAGAATAAACAAAATTAAATTATTTTTGAAATGATTTCACTCCTTTCAAAATTTTTTTCTTTTAACTCACTTCGTTCACAGTTTGTTCCAAAAAATCCAAATTGACAAAAACAAGATTTATGGCCTTGCCTAATGGCGTCTGCTACGCATTTTCCATTAGGGCCGCATTCTAAATCATCTGCGCAATCATCTAACCATCAATGAAATATATTTATCTTTCATATTAATATAATTAATTTCACACCTTTATATTGACAGTATTGACCCGAGAATCCATGTGAACATTGGCAACTGCCACTACTTCCTTCATCCTCCCATATACCATTACCAAAACAATTCTATTAAAAATTAATAAATGTTAATAATTTTGGTGCTGTATCGGTATAACCATTGGTGCTGTATTGGATATATCCACCTCTGCACAACTCCTCTCAAAACTAGAATTATCATTGTTAGTTTGTGCTTTAATCTTCTCAATAAGTAATGTACAATTTCGACATTCAACGGGAAAACGAATTTCTACAGATTGCTGAACAGCACTGAAATTATAAATTCTTAACATAAGTTACCTATTTTTAATTTTATATCATCTATTCTACCTTGCCATTTGTCTTGCTGTTACTCCATGTCCTAAAAGTAATGGCACTCTCTCACTTTCTAACTCATTTCCTTTATAATCAAGCAATCGTATCTTAACCTGCTATTTAAAAATTATTTAAAAGATAATTCTTATCATTTATCACATTTTCGTGCCTCTGAGGCGTCTTTGCTAAATGCCAGCTTATATTATAATTTCTGCCGACTTGGAAGCTTGTTAATTGGCCTAAATTAAACATTTTAAAAGATAAATCCTATTAAATTACTTCTTTCCGATTTTGGAACCCCGCAAGGTCCAAGCGTTCTTCTGTTGTCTAAAAAATCGAATGGTGGATATCGTGCTTCCGGAAATGTTAAGATGATGTGACCTTCCACGAATTTAAAAATTAAAAATAAGAAAATAATTAGACGATTAAGCATCTTAAATAGAAATATTAAAAAATATTTTCGAAGAATCGTATAATTAATTCGGAAAAACTTTTCCGAATTTGACCAATATTTTTTCATCTGTTGAAATCCTGAATGATTTTTTTCTGGAAGACAAAAGAGGAAAATGAATGCTTCTATTTAATCTTTTTAAGGAGATTTTTGAACAAATCTTATAATGTACGGCCATCTTTACGGAAATTTTTTTGTCTTTTCTCTCTCTCTCACTCATGCTAAAAACAGCCAAAGGCAATTACGGACGAATGGTTTTGAGATTGAACAAATGAGTTTGGTCGTTGTTGTTGTTGACTTTGGATAAATTAAGATTTGAAGAGGAGGGAAAAAGTTGCTAGTTTTTCGGACATTATGTATTTGAAAAGGATTGATTTTTAAGGACCTAGTTCCCCAAAAGTTAACATGGTATGAAACTAAAAAATCTTTTAAAAAATTGCATTGTGCGTGCGATTAATGTAAAATAAACTGCTTAATCGAAGAGTCGTTTCTGCGGAATATCACAAAGCTATTTTTATTTTCTTAATCATTTCTCAATCAAAATTGTGAAGAGTTCTCATGATAATATATTAAAGCGCGAGAATATATTCAATCATTTTATGAGTTTTTTTTACTTATCTTTTGCTATATTTTTGACTTATCCTTTCCAAATCTTTAATTTATAGTTAAACATCTTTAATTTTTGAATTTTTTTTTCAAAAATTTTTTTTTAATTTCTCATAGTCTAATTCTCATGCTATTCATTTCCGGCGACATAAATTTATATTATTTCGCTTATATTTTCAATGAGAAAGTTGGAAAAATTGAATAAATACCCGTATGCCGCCCCACGCTTTTTATTTTATTACCAGCACTTTTATTAGATAATTCAATTACTTTTCTCCTTTTTTTATTTGCCGCCTTATTTTTCAATTGTTTTTTCTTCTTATTCTTTCTTTCAGTTTTATGGACTGGGGTGGTTCAATAAATAATTAAATTAAATTTATTATCGACACAATCCTAACTGCTTCCTATAAATATTTTTTAAACATGTTTACATTTTTCTGGAATATTTTTTTGTAATTTTATTTTGGAATCAAATTAATACATGCATATTTTATAGGGTACACCTCCACTGAGTCTCGATGCAACTGACTCCCTTCCCCTATAATTTTAACTATCCTTAAAGTTTTTTTTTATTTCTCGTTCAATTTAACTACAAAATTTTTTCCAACGAAAGAATTTAAATTAATTTTCGATTTCTTTAAGCCTCTTTTCAAGTATTCAATTCTGAAGTTTTTTTTATTTAAATATAGCTTTTCAAGTTATGTTTTCATTTCATGAGAGAGAAACTCTCAAAATGATTGATGAGTATAAGCTGCTTGCTGCTGCCTTTTTTAAAATTATTTTATAAAAAACATAAATTAACTTTTTAAATATTCTACTCAATTTCCTTTTTTAACCTTGTGCTTTTACTAACAAAATAATTCTTTAAATAATTTATGTTTATAAAAATTCTTTTTTTCATTCATTGTTTAGAGACCAGCCTTTCTTTTCTTTCAAACGCTTTTCAAGGCAATTCGTTTTATCTTCTTTTCTACACAAAGTTCTTAAATTTCTTAGAACTATAGATTCACAGACTAGCGCAAAAAAACTAGGTGAATTTAAATAGAAAGAGGAGCAACTCAATATCCTAACGAGAACACTTCTTTTTGTCTTCAAGTATAATTTTGATTTCTCTCTCATTTGAACTGAAATAAAACCTTTATTTTATTAAATTAAAATGAAAAGCTAAATTTGAAAATTACTAATTTTAAAGTTTAAACGAAAACCCTTTAAATGCTCTAATTAAAGCCTGGCTTTATTAGAAGCTTATGTATATCGAATACAAGCCCACCCACGGAAGCACAGTGAAAAATAAACGCTTCTTCTCTAATTGAACCCCACTCAAAATGGCCCTTTGATAATTAAGAATTTTAATGCTTTGATTAGTGCATTTACGATAATTCCGAAATTTTATATATTTTCAGTTGCGCATCTCTCCAATAATTTTTAACTTTAATTTTATCAACTTGTTTATATAAACTTAAATTTTAAATGATTTATTTTTATGCTTGTTCATTCTATAAACAATAACGCCAACTGTTTGCTTAACTCTCTTTTGTTAATTCACCACTAATTACCCTCATTCTAACTAACAATTGTTAGAGGCAACTTTCTTTTGGTTTCCAGCTTCTATTTCCGTTCTTTTTTTAAGTGGCCCTCTTCAAAAAAATTACTCGATTAACTCTATAAATCATTTTTGGTGATTAACGTCATTTATTTGGTTAATCACTTGATTTTTTAAATTTATTTGGTGGTAGATGGCAGAGGTAGATCAGAATTAGTTCTATTTTCCTTCTGATTTCCGAAATTTACGCTGATCTCCTATTTCAGAGTTCCGACTTTTGAGCTATTTCCTATTTCCGACAGTTCCAATTTCCGAGATTTTCGATTTCCGATAGCTCCGATTTCCGACATTTCTGATTTCTTACAGTTGATTTCCAACAGTTACGATTTCCTACAGTTTCGATTTCCGACAGTCCCGATTTACAGCATCTTCTCTATGGGAGATGAAACAAATCTTTAAAATATTTTTTTGTTCAAGCTGGCGCCTTAACATTTAATTTTCATATCCTCATGCCATTATATTTTTTTTCTACCTTTTTTTTGAAAAGCACTTCTCTTTTTAGCACAAAATAAATTGAATTTGGCAGAATCGCGCTTTTCAATTGCTATTACTTTCAAAAAAATAAACTTTTCGACCTTTTAGCTTCTTTTTCTCTCAATCTTAAAAAATTTATTTTTAAAATTTTACTAGATTTTTTCGAAATTTTTAAAAATAAAAAATAATTTCGAAATATTAATATAGCAAATGGAAATGCTACATCATTATTTTTTATTGTTTGTTGAATTTTAAATTTGCCCCAAAATTTATAATTTATTTTTTCTCATACACAATATCCGCATTTTTGAAATATAAATTTTGGAATGCCCAATTACCCATATACTAGTTTAAAATTTTTTTAGCATTGTAAAAAATAGGGACAGATGACAGACATAATCAAACAAAGTGCCAAAAACCTCTTCTTTCCACACCACACCTCTTTCCAATACCTCTTTTCTATCCTAACTACTCATTTGAGTGTGAAATCTGTTGTTTTGTAGAGAAATAATTTTTCTAAAAATTATTTATTTTACCATTTTGAATTGGGAGATACTTATTGAAACTTTTCTATTTATCGTTAAATAATCTTATCCTTTTTATATTCATACAAGCATGCTTAAATCATATTTAGTGCCCCTTTGGGATTTTCATCCAAAAGTCATTGGTTAACTTTCCTACCCAAAATATTATTGTTTGCTAAATTTTGTTTATAAATTTTTCGTTTATTTGTTAGAAACTTAATTTTCCCTTAATTATTATAGTTTATGTATTTGGCATCCGTTTCTACTACTAATGGTACAACTGTTGCCAATACAGAAAAGACCAGAAATGCCTCTTTATTTGATATTTCTACTTATTCAATGATTGAGTTAAACCCCTCAAACGATCCTTCTATCACACTAGAAAACAATTTGTTTTTGCTTCCGACTGCAAAAGAAATACAACATGGACCCGAAATCTTTCTTTATGGCTTCATTCTTGTTTGTACATATTTGAATAGGTTAAAATCTGAAACTCTTTTCAGATACTTATTCCCACAGCAACAATTCTTGGCAATTTTCTTGTAATTATTTCTGTTCTACGCTTTAAGTCTCTACATTCAGCTATCAATTTTCTTATCCTTGGTTTAGCTGTTGCTGATTTTATGGTTGCTCTTTTTGTGATGCCTTATGCTGTTTATGTATATGTAAATTTTTTTAAAATTTTTAAGGAGATAAAGTTAAAAATTAATAAAATTTGTTTAGGTCCAAGGTGGCCTTTGGATGTTGGGTATGTGTTGATTGGACGTAAACTTATATACATATTTTGATAGGTCCTCTTATGTGCAATATCTACCTAAGCTCAGATGTTGCATGTAGCACTGCTTCAATTATCCTTCTAGCTTTAATTAGTTTTGATAGGTATTAAAAAATTTTTGAATTGAAATTTAAGTACTAATTTTTTGTCAGTTAAATACCACAATTCTTTTAGATAATTTTTAAAATTTAAATTTTTAAGATACAAAGCAATAAGCAAACCAATCCAATATTCGCGTCAAGCACAAAATATTTACAGAGTTGTTAAACTTTTTGTTTTTGTATGGATATATTCTTTTTGTGTTGCCAGCCCCATTGTTTTGGGTTTGTTGGAGGGATGTCACGGGATACCCGATCTTTTGTGACCCGAACCCCGATCTGAAGGAAATTTTAAAGACTCGATCCGACTTTTTCTCAACCCGTGACATGCTTGTTTTGTTATTTTAAACCTTTTAATAAAAACAATTTTAAGGAATTAATGATCCTCCAGATAATGACGGAGGATTATTGTTTGAATGTCGATTTTACAATGCTTATTTTTCTTTATTATCATCATTTGTTAGCTTTGTATTTCCATGTTGCGTGGTTATCTTTGTTTATGTACGTATTATTCGCGCGTTAAGAAGTCGAGAAAAATCAGCAAAATTACGAAAGGCTCAACAACATTTATCTTTAAAAAAGAAGCATGAATGTCAAGCAACAACTAATAATAAGCCTAAAGCTGAATGTGATGATGAAGCTGGTGAAATTGTTGCTGGGCCGGGTAAGACAAAAATATTTTTTAAATAGCCTCCGTGAGCTATTTTTCGATCGAGCTCTAGAGGGGGGTTATATTTTCGTTGGAGGAGGAGGGGGTGGGCTATTTAAGAAAAAATTCATTTTTCCCCCAGCTGTGAATATGATGATGATTGCGTTACCTTCTTTGAACCGGCAAATTAAACGTTATGAAAGGCATAAACAAGCATTGGAAGAAGCAGAAGTTATATTGGATGATGAAGAATTTTCTTCTATTGAATCTTTAAATGAAGATGTGCGTATACTTACTAATGATTTCATCTCTGAAGTGCCAACCTCCAAGTAATTATTAAATATTTAAATGCCCTGAGCTGTGAACACCACAGTTAAGTCCGATTTTTTAACCCATGAAAAGATGGTCACTTCTGCTGTTCTTGGTACCTTTGGATAGGGAATTTTTATCCAATGGTACCAGGACGATTATAAAATTTTTTGCTCCTTTATAAGTTATAGGGCTCGGGATTCAAACGAGTCGGGACTCAATTGAAGTTTACCGGCTGAGCTTATCTCTGAAATAAATTTTGAGAAACACTTTCTAATTTAATTTTGAGAAACACTTTCTAATTTAATTTTGAGAAACACTTTCTAATTTATTTCATATTTTTTATTTAGAACTTCATCACAACAAACAACAACTTTTGAACCAACAAAACGTTCAATCGACTCAAGTTTAATTAATCGTTTCCGTCTATCATTTTCTGGAGTTCTTGAAACTAGTAAGGGAGGGGGATCTTCAATTTCAGTCAAAGCGGATGAAGTTGTTCCTTCCATCTTTCAAGCTCGAAAACGTTCATCCTGTGATGTTGGAACAATTTTTTCTGTTAATGAATCTGAGCGACGAAAGTCAGGAACTGCTTTAACTTCATTGGGTGTCAGAAATTATCCTTTACGAACGAAAAGCCATCGAGGCAATTTTATAAATTTTTGTTCTCTTCAAAAAATTTTTTTAAGAGATTAGGCGTGAAGATGATTGCCAGCGGCGTCCTTTATTACCTTTAAAAGAGGAGGAAAGAATAACCAAGAACTCTTTGGAATGTATTCACAAAAATAATGCAAAGCCTACCAACTTACTACATGCACCTTGTAGACCAACTCTTTCCTTTCCACTTGTCAGGCGTATTACGTTGGGAAAGAATTTTTTAGGTATTAAAATAAGTTTTAAATTTTATTCATGTAACTTTCAGTCGATCATTATTTACTTTCTGAAAACAAAGGCCTTAATGATGCTAACATTTCAATAAATATTAGTAGGTGTTCCACAGAAGAGCATGTTTTAAATGGTGGTAATCGTGTTGTGAGAGAGATAAGAAGTCCATCAATTCAAGAAACAATTGTAAGTGTTCAACCCTGAAGATCTATTGACCCTGAAGACCTACAACTTTTGAAAGGGTATATAGAAGGATTTAGTGTGCTCTTGGGGTCTATGGAGTCCAGCTCTATGGAGATAAGTACCCAGTTGTCTTCAATAACCTTTGGTGCGGTATTGTACCATAACCGTAACTCTGGGTGATTGCTACTCTATATCCTTTTTAATCACACCAAATCCATCGATATCCTCTTAATCCCTTAAAATCTTTCAATATTCCCTTTTGATATTCCTTTTCAGAAGTTGTAGGTCTTCAAGGGGATGACCTTCAGAGATCGACTCAATTGTATTATCAATCTAGATTTTCTAAATAAATTAAATTTTTTCTAGAAAAGCCGAAAGAGTTCCGCCAGGCGTAGTTCTTCAGCCGTCGAGTTGTTTACTTCTCCACAAATATTTACGGAAGACAGAAACTTGAAGACTTCTAACAATTTAATTCAAAATATAAAAAGCAAGGATGTCAAACAAGAAGAATGGAAGGTGAATGATGAAGATGATCAAACATCACCTTTAACCAGCGGTGCCGAAAAAGAGATGGTAGCAAGCTTTTACTTAATTTTTAACATGACTGAACATGAAATTTAAGGAAAAACAAAAGTTACAGTTAGCAGGGAACACTCCAGTTACTCAAGGTTCACGGCGAGATCGTCATGCTAGTTTGCGACGTAAAGTTTACAAATCTCAGAGAAAGGAGAAACGAGCAACTAAAACACTTGGAATTGTTGTTGGTCAGTAAAGAGAATTTTTTTAATTTGGACACTTTAGCTTAGGGTTGTTCACGACCATTAAGATTTTTTCTGTGGCGGGACAAATAGGAGCCGCCACAGTGAAAAATTAACAGGCCGTGAACAATCCTAATCTTAACCTAAATTTTCTTATTATCAAATTAATTTTTAGGCACTTTTCTTTGTTGCTGGGTGCCTTTCTTTTCGTTGAATATAATTAACGCTGTTTGTTTTCAATTAAATCTGGGATGGTGCCAGATTGGTTTTGGACCTTTCTTTTACACAACTTGGATTGGTTTGATAATTTGCTATTAAATTGAAATCAAAACTTTATTTTTAGGTTATATGAATTCATTTATGAATCCAGTAATTTATACAATTTTTAATGCAGAATTTCGTCGTGCCTTTAAAAGCCTTCTTTTGGGTAGAAGACCAGCTAATATAATGCGTCGAATCTAATTGTATTTTTTATTGTTTTTTATAAACAATTAATTTATAAAAAAATTTTTATGTACTACCAAATAATTTGATAATATTTAAATTTTTTGAAAATTGAAAATTTAAAAAATTGATATTTATTAGTTTTAAAAATGGAAGTTCTATGTGTATATTAAAAGGCAGTTAATTTATCTCCTTTGTTTATTTTCTATCTTCAAATCAACTCATTTCTTGCCACAACCATATCCATAGCCTCCACACCCGCCACAGCCATAACAGCCACCGCATCCCCCAAATCCACAACTTGGCACATAGCTGACCGGTGCCGGTACAGGGACTGGCACTTGCACTGTGTAGGTGACTGGAGCGGGCACAGGAACTGGAGCTGGAGCCGGTACAGGTGGCAAAGCTGGTGCTGGAACAACACCACTGAAATATATAAAATGATTTTAATATCTCAATTAACAATCAAACCAAGTGACGCAGCAACCCCCACAGCTCGCTTCGGTACAATGACCAAGCAAAGTTACAACAAGTGCTGAGAGGATGAAAACAGCTGTCAGAATATTAAAATTCATTGTTTTTTTGTACGAGTTAGCTTAATAATATAAGATTTAAAAAAGCATAAGTGGATATACTTTAGTTATTTTATTATCCAAGAATGAGTTTGCCCCCCCCCCACTCACTATGGTTTTTCAAGTTTCGGGGACACATCTCGGCTAATTTTCCTATATGGGAGAGTGGTACCATTTGACTAAGCTTGCCGAGACTAATCGACAGCTTGCTGGGATGATTCGTATGGCTTTCGAACGGTCATCGGCTAAAATCCAGCCATATAATCAAATAGGATGGGAACCTCATAATTATGAAATTATAATTAAATTTGAGAATCAGCGATATTGCAAACCAACTTTTCTGAAATACCAGCTGTTGACGTCTTTAAAAAATATTTCAATTAACATAACTTATATACTGCTGATTTAACTTGATAAACAACCCATGTCCTTATCTATTTCGTTGCCTTGTTGATTTATTAGCCTTCAATTAATTTAAAATAACGACACATTTCAATAAAATAATTCGGTGAATTTCAATTTTCTTCAACCAAAGTTTACACGTTAATATTTAAATTTAAAAAAGTTGATGGGTTACTTTGACTGATTGATAAAGGTTTTTGAATAATATCTTTAGAAGGGCTGCAAAATTTAAATTTCCATAAAATAAGTCGTAAATACATACATACGTCATCTTGCAAAAAAATTACAAAAAAATTTATTCTTTTCCAAAATGCTTTGCATATTAAAGGATAAGTAAATATGCCGGAGCAGTTTAGTTAATTTCCAACCTTATAATTCATTAAGGGATGGTCACTTCTTCGTGTTCTTGGTACCATTGGATTAAGAATTAAATACACTATAAGATTACAAAAAATCAAAATTCTCGAAGGATTGATAAAAACGTTATGATTTAAAAACTAACTATCAGAAAATTGTGATTCTTCGGCACTTTATCGATCATAACTTTTTTATCAATCAGTTAAGAATTTTGATTTTTCTGTTATCTTGTAGTGTATTTATTTTCTATCCAATAGTACCAAGAACAATAAGAAATGACTATTTCCTCATGAGTTATAGGGTAGGGACTGATCTGAGGTGTACCGACAGGATAATCTATTTACCTAATTTATTTGACTATAATCAAGTTTTCTTAACAACTAATCCCTGGGTTAAATTAGTAATCTTTTGCCACTTTACAAATTCCCATTATTATAGACATATAATATTGCATTATTTATCTTTTAAATAATGTAAACATAAAATAGAAATCTATCATCATTTTATCGAAGTATTAAATAAAATCTTCATTTTTTGACACTAAAAATTTCTGGAGACCTAAAGGACTATATTATAACTTCGATAAAATGATAAAGTATAATTGAACAAAAGCACAAAATATTCCTGATAAATTGTTGCATCATATAACATTTTTGATTGCCGAAAAATTTCGTAAAGGTTCTATTTCTTTCCGCAGCCGTAGCATCCACCACCGCAACCAAAACCTCCTCCACATCCTCCAAAACCACCGCCAAAACCTCCAACAGCGAAACCGCCACCGTAACCACCGCCGAAACCTGGACCACCAAAGCCTGGACCACCAAAACCTGGACCACCGAAACCTCCACCAAAGCCACCGATTCCACTGAAAAAATTTCTTTATTAGATTGTCAGTAAGTCAAAAGAACTTACCATGTTGCACAACAACCACAACATCCTCCTCCACAAGCAACTGTGGAGCTTGGTAAGAAAACGAATATCGCTAACGCGAACATTGCGACAAAAATAATTGTTGCTTGTGAGAAATGAGCTTGCATTTTAATTTTTTAGAAAAGGTGAAACTTAAATCTGCAACTAAAAAACCCTTTCGATTTACAAAAAAATTAAATGAAAAAGTTATTTTTTAAATTCTAATCACCAACAAGAAAAAATTTCAGTAAGTGTGTGAATTTGTGCATTTTTTAAATGCTTTATAGGTCTCAAAATTACCCAGCAGGCATTAAACAGTTTTTCGCCCGTCAGCACTGACCCATGTTTTAAAGTAACTGCTTTTTATTGTTAGTTTAATTTTTTCTCTCCCGTCCTTCGTGACGCCGTTCCAATTTTTGTTTTTTGGCCTCTAACCAGCAATCTTTTCTTGACATTTTCTAGTAGAACGGCATAGAAAGGTTAAAAATCCCTCCGACAGGAATGTTCTTCCACCACCTGTCGAATTAATTGGTCTTTCCCCTCTATTATTATTGTAATATTAATGCGACCGAACATCAAAAATGGCCGGAAAATAATTACGTAAATTAGTAAAATGAAATATAGCGAAAAGATTTTTTAAGAAAAATTATGCTGACGTTTAATTCAACAGAAAAATATTGCCTATACAAACAGTCTATTCTCTTCTACACTAATGCCATTAACGTGGAACATTCTTCAATTTAATATACTTATTCATAATAAGGCAAGGTTATTGCTACTTTTGCAGTACTGAATGAGATTGAACGTTTTCGAAATTTAAGCTACGTATTATATTTTTCAATTACCTTCCAAAGTGGCATTCGAATTGAGGAGGACATTGTATTTTTCAATCAACATTCAAAGGGACCTGCTATTAGAGGGGGCATTCAAATAGAGGGGGCATTCTATTCTTCAATTATCCTTCAGAGGAGGTATCAATTAGAGGTAATACGGTAATTCTGCAACATAAACAATTTTAAAAATTTTATGCTGTAAATTCATTCAATCTTTTAGTAATTATGGCCTTTAATCAATGTTGTGTAAAAGTTTCATTTCCGTTCCCGTTCTTAAGCACGCCCCTAGGAAAAATATTATACTAAGTCATAAATATTGCAAATACCTCGGCGTTCCATCCTCATTAAAACGAACGCGACCTCTACTTGCACCGCTAAGTGATGATCCTCCATACATTTCATCCCCTCTAAACTGAGGTGGATGCGTACTGAAGACAACTAAAAATTGAGGGAAGGCAACTGATATGAATGAATGTAAAACTACCCGTCCCCATGGGTATCCCAAAACCACAACAGATTGGATAGAATCCATCATCATTCACATTTTCGTACATATGAGGGTTCCTGCGCCTTTTTAAATATATTTTTAAATTTTTATTTAAAAATTTTAGCAGAAACACACCTATGAAGCCAACAACCATTACATAGCAAGCAACAGAAAAACGACAATAACACTGATAGTATAATAGAAATAATCAGACCCAACACCAACAGTGTATAATCAATCCTAAGTGAAAATTAATGAATCTGTGAAGAAAGTAGTCCGGAATCATATCCCGTATCGTACTACGGTACAGAATATCGAAACCCTGAAAATCCGGCCCTCCGGCTCTATAAGAAATTAGTCTCTAAAACAAACTGAAAAGTGCCCGGAGTGTATGCTGCTACAAAGCGTTCAACTCGAGTAGTCGGTGACTTAATCCCATTTGGACTGTCGCAGCAGTAATAACCCTTGGTTAAATTTTAAAAATATTTAAGATGGTATAGCTCACATGCCCAATTCCCTCGTTGCTAATGCAACAAGCAGTTGCACAATACAAACTGAAAGATAATTGTTTTCAAAACAATTAAATTAGAGAACTCACTCAACTCCGGATGGCATTTTCGGACAACGAATATCACCCTTTGTTATGCCAAAAAAGCAGAAATGAAGCAAAAATAAGGGTAGAACTGTGATTATGTCACTTAGACCGATCATTATCGTTTTACGATAAGAAATCTAAGGGGGATATGAGAAAAATGCTTGAGAAATTATCAAAAATAATTTAGATTAAAGGAAAAAAGACAAAATTAACCCCTTTATACTTTTAACAAAAATTATTTACATAACTTATCCCCAGATATCAATTGATTTTAATGGGAAGAAATGAAGATATAGGTAGTATATTTGTTTAAGGGGCAAAATCAAAAAAGTTTCTGACTGGGGAAAACAATTATTCTCGCGCGCGAACACAGCAAAAATGTTCTCTCTTTTATCTATTTTCATTCAGTTCACTTTTAGAAAATCATTACAAAGTGTATCGAATGTACATTTTTAACCTCTCTAGATCTAAAAAATATTTACGCAAACACCATTTTTATTCGATTAAGAATTTGGCCATTTTAACAAAATACTTAATGATCGATCTATATTTGAAGGCCGCGCAGTCTTCAAGGCTACCAAAATTTTAAAACAAGTTTTTATGAGTAAACTATCGATTTTTGAAATATTGATAGACAAGTATTTGTTGTTTATTTGCTTTTTATCAACATATGATAGGTTGCTTTTTACCTATTTTTCAAAAGCAAATATTCAAGAGTAAATAAATAAAATACTATGCAAGATTAAGTAACTTATTTTTATTTATTTTTTGAGATAATTAAAATAAATTAGGTAGGGTGATTAGTTCCGGATTTACTCCTTTTTATATTGCATCTTTTCTTGCTTAGCATTCTTTATAATTCCATTATGATCAAACAAAATACAAAACAACAACATTATTAATCCAAGGAGATGTCCAAACAGTTTAAACTCGTTAATCCAAGTATCCCATTGAAACTGATCATAATTGTGAATAAGAGCGCCTGAAATTATATTGTAATAATCTTTAAAATCGGTTATCCCCAGAAGGTCTACACCCAAAAGGTTAAATCCAACAATTGAGTGGATATAGAATTCGAGATCATGAATACTTTTGCCTCTCCTTAATGCCTTTTCTGGCCATTTTACTTGAGGAGTTCTGTCATATCCCTTAATCCGTCTTAATCTCAACAAATTGATTTTAATCCGCCAAAATCCACTGATATCCCCTTAGTCATTCTAAATGCGTACAAATCCTTTCTTATACGCCCAAATATTTGGAGTTGTCTTTTCGGGGACGACCTTCTAGAATTTAATCCTCTGGGTGTTCCCATAATTTCTTAATATCATTTCGATTGATTAGCTTACAGATTAGATAATAATATATTAAATAATCAAACCGAGATAGACAAGCTGGTAGCCATTTATCAAAAGAAAACACACACGAGGCAAAATCACCAATGGATTTAAATTCTATTTTAACGAACAAAGTTATTAAAAAAATAAATCATTTCTTACAGATTTATATCGGTGTAAACATCCTCCATCATTCGGACAAAGCCTTGTGCGAATACAAGCTGATAGAGAAATGGCCAGACGTTCTCTAAGACCTTAAATTGATAAGTAATGTTAGTGGAACAGCAGGAAAATAAAATGTTTTATAATAAATCATTTTTAACTTGTTTCAGCAAACGCAAATAAACCAAACGATAAGAGGACTGTACACATTCGTAAATCAAGTCCCTTAATGAATAAAAAAAAATAAAATTTCTAGAATTTACGTGTAATAAAGAAGAGACTGCAAAAGTAATTAGAATAGCTGATAAAGTAGCAAAACCATTGGAAACAAGTTTTCGATAAAAATCTAAAGAATTTTAAGATTCATTAGAATTACGTACATTTACTAATCAAAAAATCAGGCCCTATCTGAAAGGAGGTCAAAATGGTCAATTTTCCTTGGTATTTGACGTTTGTTGTCTGGGTTCAGGACCTATGTATTGCCATTGGGGTTGGATTAATCTATATTCATTCATAAAAAATTGTAAAAAATATTTCTCAAGTGGTTTAGTGGAATGTGATACAGATATCCCACAGCAAAAATATCAAATACCAAAGAATACAAAGTAACTTGCATTTGTGAAGAAATGAATGCATTGGAATATTCCAAACCGAGGCAACTTGTGCCAGAGATCCAGGCCATTCAACAGACGTCCATCTGACAATCTCAAGCGAATAGGATGCTCCACCAATCAAAACAATAGATGTAGCGAAATAACATACAAAATAATGTGAATAGCGGAAGGCAAGAGCTTTTGTAAATTGAATTAACCAAGAAGGTAAAAAGTAGAATGAAGATAAAATATCAGTGTCGACAAAACAAGATGAAAGGAGAAGAAAAAACAATGCGATGATCAAGTGCCAAAAAGAATGTAATAGCCTCAAAAGCAAATTCTAAAAAATGAAACAAAATGAAATAAGGCCGCTCAATATTTATAACCTACTAATTAAAGATAATACATATAAGATAAAGCCCAGGAAAACTAAGGTAATATCCTATGTGCGACATTTTTTACTATTCCCCGTTTGTTTTTAATTAAAGGATCTATTGAACAGGGTCCATAACAGGTATGTGCTTAACTCAATTGGAATAGATTATCCTAGCGCAATATGGTAGAAAATATTAGCAAGAATAAGGCAGTCAAAAATTGTTGTTGGCTTTTCCGGCGCTATAGATTATATTAAGATTATCATTTAGGGTTTTTTTTCTTTTTTATTTAAACCCAATTAAACAAAAAATGTCGCACCCAAACGAGACTGATATCAAAAAAGCCAAATTCACTTGAAAGAACAAACCTACATAGTAGTTACATTCACGAAATCCTTGTTCTAAAGTATATTTCATCTCCAAAAATTGTGTATAAGTAATAAACGGTCCAAAAATTAATGTTGAAGGGTCAAAAATAAAAGCAAATTGATTGAAAAAATTTGGAATCTGGAGATGAGAGTAAACATCATTGATTTTGGTCAAATCTTTATAGGCAGATTCGTCGATATCAATGGACAATGAGATTTGCTTCATAGCAGCTATCATTAAACTTCCTCTAATCTAAATGAAATTTAAAAATTCACTTGAAGATTTTTATTTGATTATATGGGGTCAACCCTGAAGACTTACACCTATATCTGTTTAAAGACCTACACTCTAATCCCGACAATCTTTATTTCCTTTAATTCCTCCATATCCCCCGATTAAACATGTAAAAAAGGGTGTTGACAAACCTAGTGTAAATCTTCAGTAATCGACATTCATGGGTGTTGGTCTCCCGAGGTAGACTTAAAAAATAGTTTAATAAGTTTAACAAATTTACCATCAAAAAATCATCAATATCCATAAAGAATTGGCTATAATTTGGATATTTAAAGCATATTTTAAAAATCAGAAACTCACCATATAGCAATATATAAAATTGTGAATATCGTACAAAAAGGTCCTTTGCTATTATTTTGAATAAGATCAAAGCTCATTAAAGCATAACTCAGCAGAAAATAAAGAATGAAGGGTAACATCAGTGCATAGCGCTCAGAATTCGAACATAGAAGGGCAAACCCTATAAATCCATTCAGAAAGTCGTCTAAAGTTTGCTGGCAGTGGAAGTTTGCTGGTATCTAAAGTTTGCTGGTATATGGTGAGTTAAAAATAATTTTTCAGGAGAAAATATTCTGGCGAATGCATGTTTTTCCATGAAAACTCATTTTATTTAAACTCATCAAGTCTTCCGACTAATTGATTCAAAAGATTATGCAGACAGTTTCACATCAAAATGGAAATTATCCTGGCTCTTATTTTCAATTTGAGGAAAGCGAATTTTCATCAGAGGAGCTTTTTCTTGATGATTACTCAACTGTGGTTGTTTGTGTTTGGCAAACGATCAGCTCTATATTTCCATTCGTGTTCAGATCTTTGGCTGCTTCGTTTTTTAAGTTGATAGTTTTGGCATCTATTGGTATTTTTATTTTACTATTTTTAATTTTAATGGGGTCAACCCAGAAAGTTAAATTCCAATATTTGGGGGATGAAGAAGGATTTGAGCAGATTAAGACATACTTGTGAGTGGATTTGGGCGGATCAAGAGACAAGTCGAAAATTCTCCAGTACAACTTTCAGATAAGGCAAAAGGTGAGCAGGGAGCATTCCTGATCATGAGTCCCCTTTATCCTCTAAATATTTGGATCTGACCTTCTGGGGTGACCCATTGTATCATTTTACACAGAAATTTAAGGGAAGTTCCACTGCCAGCAAACTTTAGACGACTTTCTGAATGGATTTATAGGGTTTGCCCTTCTATGTTCGAATTCTGAGCGCTATGCACTGATGTTACCCTTCATTCTTTATTTTCTGCTGAGTTATGCTTTAATGAGCTTTGATCTTATTCAAAATAATAGCAAAGGACCTTTTTGTACGATATTCACAATTTTATATATTGCTATATGGTGAGTTTCTGATTTTTAAAATATGCTTTAAATATCCAAATTATAGCCAATTCTTTATGGATATTGATGATTTTTTGATGGTAAATTTGTTAAACTTATTAAACTATTTTTTAAGTCTACCTCGGGAGACCAACACCCATGAATGTCGATTACTGAAGATTTACACTAGGTTTGTCAACACCCTTTTTTACATGTTTAATCGGGGGATATGGAGGAATTAAAGGAAATAAAGATTGTCGGGATTAGAGTGTAGGTCTTTAAACAGATATAGGTGTAAGTCTTCAGGGTTGACCCCATATAATCAAATAAAAATCTTCAAGTGAATTTTTAAATTTCATTTAGATTAGAGGAAGTTTAATGATAGCTGCTATGAAGCAAATCTCATTGTCCATTGATATCGACGAATCTGCCTATAAAGATTTGACCAAAATCAATGATGTTTACTCTCATCTCCAGATTCCAAATTTTTTCAATCAATTTGCTTTTATTTTTGACCCTTCAACATTAATTTTTGGACCGTTTATTACTTATACACAATTTTTGGAGATGAAATATACTTTAGAACAAGGATTTCGTGAATGTAACTACTATGTAGGTTTGTTCTTTCAAGTGAATTTGGCTTTTTTGATATCAGTCTCGTTTGGGTGCGACATTTTTTGTTTAATTGGGTTTAAATAAAAAAGAAAAAAAACCCTAAATGATAATCTTAATATAATCTATAGCGCCGGAAAAGCCAACAACAATTTTTGACTGCTAGGGGCATGTCGCGGGCGACTTTTTGACTTTTAAGCCAAATCCTTTTGATTAGTTTTGACTTAAGGTCAGATCCTTTTGACCGGCTGGACAAAGCTCAAACCTTTAGCGTACGTTAGTGCGGCAAAAGCTGACCTCCCTCTCAAAAGCCGCTACCTATAGGAGTGAGAGAAAATCAATGTCGCGGCATCATCCTGCTCCTTTTTCTTCTCTTCCCGATCCTCCCCCACCTCTTCTCTCTCCTTTTCTCTCTTCTTTGGTTAAAATTTAGGATAAGAGAAGGGTTGGGGAGGATTAGGACTCAACCGACTCTTTTATTGACACTATCTTACTTATTTGATCCATATTTAGAGAAACAATTATTTTTTCATCATTTCTTTTTCCCGCACATTTATCTTTTTCATAATATTTAAATTTTTAGTGAAACAAAAATTTCCTTTCAAAAATGGATCCTTTTGAAATTTTTAATGTTAACAACAACCAAAATACCAACAACAATAATATTTTATGGAGAGGTAATTTTTTAAATTTAGGCATTAAAAAAATTTTAATTTTTAGAGCGTATCTTCATTATTTTAATTCTGATTTTCATTGTCCAAACTGGACACTTCTTTACTTTTTTTGTTGCATTGATGAATCGATGAGGTGGCTGGAAAACATTTTTTATTAAAATATTTTTTTATCAATTTTTTGATATTTTTGAATAATTTATTATATTTATTATTTTAAATAAAAATTTTTCTATGAATGTCTTTTTTATGAAAGAGAAAAAAGAGAAAGGGATAAAGTTATTTTGTAAAACGATTGTGTAATAGGTAGGAAACATATGGTGAGATATGTAAATTAACCCTGTAAGTTTCAACTGGCAGGAAGAAATCATTCATTTTTAAAATTATTAAATGTCATTTTATAAAAATGTTTTTATAAGGTTTTTATTTTATTCTTTTAGAATGAATTTTTCATATTCCGAATGGGTGTTAGAGAATTGTACCTTTTGTACAACTGATTCTAACTGTATTAGACCCGCAAAATTCAAATACCCTATTCTTTGCCTTTCTAAAAAAATTGGAATTAAAAATTTTAATAATTTTATTGAACATCCTCCGGAGCTGGAGACTTCTCTTTTTTCAATTTATTTGCTTTTGTCTGTAATTATAGGCTTACAGGTTCTTCATAAACACAAAATTTTATTTTTGTATTTTTATAGTTAATTCATCTTGTTTATCTGGGTCTTAGTAAGCTGAAAAATTACCGTGCTCGAGTCTCTCGTCGCCAGCAAATTAACCGAGTCCGATCAAACTATGGAGGTTACTAATTTTAATATTAATCATTAATAAATAATAAATTTTAGTTTAATGACTCCTCCCACAAAAAATACTCCTAAAATTTAAACCTATTGAAAGAACTCAAAAGAATAAGAAACAAAACCTAACTCAACTTAATAACTATCCTAGAAACTCTAAATAAATTGAAAAAAAAGTTTTATAAAATTTATTTATTTATTTAGATTATTACATAATTTTTTAATATAGAATTTTTATTTAATCCTATGTTTTTTCTCTTCATCGTCTTCACTCTAAAAGCGCGATCTCTGAAGAGTTGGCGCCACCGTAAATGGTGCTGTGATTGTTGGAGACGAATAAACTAAAATTTATTATTTATTAATGATTAATATTAAAATTAGTAACCTCCATAGTTTGATCGGACTCGGTTAATTTGCTGGCGACGAGAGACTCGAGCACGGTAATTTTTCAGCTTACTAAGACCCAGATAAACAAGATGAATTAACTATAAAAATACAAAAATAAAATTTTGTGTTTATGAAGAACCTGTAAGCCTATAATTACAGACAAAAGCAAATAAATTGAAAAAAGAGAAGTCTCCAGCTCCGGAGGATGTTCAATAAAATTATTAAAATTTTTAATTCCAATTTTTTTAGAAAGGCAAAGAATAGGGTATTTGAATTTTGCGGGTCTAATACAGTTAGAATCAGTTGTACAAAAGGTACAATTCTCTAACACCCATTCGGAATATGAAAAATTCATTCTAAAAGAATAAAATAAAAACCTTATAAAAACATTTTTATAAAATGACATTTAATAATTTTAAAAATGAATGATTTCTTCCTGCCAGTTGAAACTTACAGGGTTAATTTACATATCTCACCATATGTTTCCTACCTATTACACAATCGTTTTACAAAATAACTTTATCCCTTTCTCTTTTTTCTCTTTCATAAAAAAGACATTCATAGAAAAATTTTTATTTAAAATAATAAATATAATAAATTATTCAAAAATATCAAAAAATTGATAAAAAAATATTTTAATAAAAAATGTTTTCCAGCCACCTCATCGATTCATCAATGCAACAAAAAAAGTAAAGAAGTGTCCAGTTTGGACAATGAAAATCAGAATTAAAATAATGAAGATACGCTCTAAAAATTAAAATTTTTTTAATGCCTAAATTTAAAAAATTACCTCTCCATAAAATATTATTGTTGTTGGTATTTTGGTTGTTGTTAACATTAAAAATTTCAAAAGGATCCATTTTTGAAAGGAAATTTTTGTTTCACTAAAAATTTAAATATTATGAAAAAGATAAATGTGCGGGAAAAAGAAATGATGAAAAAATAATTGTTTCTCTAAATATGGATCAAATAAGTAAGATAGTGTCAATAAAAGAGTCGGTTGAGTCCTAATCCTCCCCAACCCTTCTCTTATCCTAAATTTTAACCAAAGAAGAGAGAAAAGGAGAGAGAAGAGGTGGGGGAGGATCGGGAAGAGAAGAAAAAGGAGCAGGATGATGCCGCGACATTGATTTTCTCTCACTCCTATAGGTAGCGGCTTTTGAGAGGGAGGTCAGCTTTTGCCGCACTAACGTACGCTAAAGGTTTGAGCTTTGTCCAGCCGGTCAAAAGGATCTGACCTTAAGTCAAAACTAATCAAAAGGATTTGGCTTAAAAGTCAAAAAGTCGCCCGCGACATGCCCCTACCTATGACTACTGTTGTGGTTATTTTAAAACATATTTAATTATATCCGCTGGATAGAAAGTAAAAAACTAGAGATTTAGAAAAAAATTTCAACCAAGCTATTTGAAGAAATAAAATATTACAAATTATATAGAATTTAAAGCATGCATAAATAATCTATGCAAGTTTTGTTGGATTGAATTAAAAAATTATTCTTAAAAAATAATTATTTCAAGAAGCTGAGATTTTATTGAGAGAGAGAGAGATTTTGAGATTTTATTTTTTTATTATTTTCTTCAGCACTATATTTAAATACATACAACAATACATACAGCAATCACAAAATAATTTTTAGTGTTGAAAAAACCATAAATATTCAAACAAATATATTTAATAAAAATATAAAAATGATAAAATTAACTCCTATCGACAAAGTTTATCTTTTAAAAATAATATGGTAATAAAATAGAATAAAAAATCTAATATTTAAAAAATTTAAAAAAGAAATTATAAGTATAAATGTAAATATTATACAATAGCGTGAATTGGAACCTTTGTGAGAAACAAGTGATCGAATTTATTTAAATACATTTAAATTTAAAGAATTATTGAAAAATATATTCAATATTTTTAATTCTTTTCCTTATTAATTAAACTTATGCCGCATATTTCGAGATTTGTTGTTTGATATAGGTAGAAGAGACCGTTATCCCGTATCTCTTTAAGAAGTCATCTTTAAAATACTCACTCGTGAAAAAACACTAACTACTTAATAACTTTTTATTAACGATAATAAAATATAATGATATTATAAAATTCAATAATCTAATCCGATGTTTGAAGAATAATGTCGGCTCTTACTATAACCCAAATAGAAATGATCGCAGATATATTAAAAATTTATTTGAATAAAAAAATACCAAATGAGTTATAAGAGTCTGCAACGCCAAACAAATTAAGAAGGCATTTAGAAACTTAAAATAAACTACAAACAACATGTAGCGAAATAAATCATATTGTCGAATGCGACAATTACTCAATATACATATCATTTCTGCTCAAAAAAAGATAATTGTGAAAAAGTTAACTGGAAATATAAATTTTATATTGTTTATTAATTAAATACTTAAATTAATTTAAAAAATTTATAAAAAATAATTTTTGAGGTATTAGAAATAGTTTTAAATTAAGAAAAATGTCTATAATTAAATGATTCACATTTCAGTCTATAAATATTTAAAAAATTCAGAATTCTCTATTTTAATGTGAAAATTAACATAAGCTATTCAACATAACGTAAATAATATTAACAAATTTTTTAGGCTGAAACTCTTCGTCGTAAGCAGCGCCTATACATATGTATTTAAAGTAATTATTTATGTAAAGTAATAATATATTTAAAGTTAATTATTTGTTTACAAATAATAATTAACTACATTAACATCCTTCTTTAATTATCGATTGATTAAGCCCCGCCCTTGAAGGGACGTGCTTAG